GCAACAAAACTAGATATGAATTATGACCTTTTATAATAAATTATTCTAATTTTACTCAAGGGCAACAAAACTAGATATTAATTATGCTCTTCTTTCATAGATTATTCTTGGAATTGTTGAAAAGTACTTGCAAAAAAAAACCAGATGTAATATATTATTTACCCAAGGGCAACAAAACTAGATATTAATTATGCCCTTCTTTCATAGATTATTCTTGGAATTGTTGAAAAGTACTTGCAAAAAAAAACCAGATGTAATAAAGGTGGGCTGTAGCAGACTTCATGAGTATCTGTTATATCGCTTCGGTGCATCATCTCCTCGTCGTAATTATTATCATCAGGGTGTTGAGATACTTTTTCCTATTTTTGTAATATCTCGGCAATCATCCTATCGAATTCGTCAGGATAATAGCATATCTCATGCCTCTCAGGAATTCCATTTACATTGATAGTTTCTTCATCTTCAATATGACCATAGTCACTTTCGTGGTCGTCGTTATCCATGTCCTTATCAGATTCATGCGGATAGTAGCAAACCTCGTCCAACTTGTATTCATTTACGTATACAACATCGTCGTCTTGAGAGATTTCATCTACCTCACTACCTCATCTACCTCAACTTCGTTATAATAATAGTATAACTCGTGTGAAGTATAGTTAGATATATAATAAATTGCAGACGTCGAAATGTACCTTTATTACATCTGCTTTTTTTTGGAAGTGTTTTATGGAAATTCCATAAATAATTTATTATAAAAGGTCATAATTAATATCTAGTTTTGTAGTCTTTGGGTAAAATTAGATTTGAAGGTCCGATGTTACTTGGGTTAAATACTACAGCTCTACAAAAATATATTGAAAATAAGTAATATTGGTCAGAAATAATTATTAAAAATGCATGAAAAAAACCATAAACAATTTAAATTGAAAATTGTTACTCTGAAAAGAAAGGATTGTGATTAAAAATAAAATATAAATTTTCAAAATTGTGCAAATATGTACTTGCAGAAGAGATATATGAGTTTGTAAAAGTATTCAGAAAACATATAAGATGCGAATGTAAATAAGCGACGGACGTTGAGTAGTAAATTGGATATTTTGCATGGGCAGGAAGAATAGAAGAAGTATCATTTCGTGCTTAAAATATGAGTTCCATGCACATGTAATAACTAGACTGGTAACAAGTAAAACATACAAAAAAAATATAATACAGAAAGGATGGACGAAAGATAGAAGGAAAGAAATCTAGTTTACGGATGTAAATAAAGCAGCTTTCGAATATAAAAGCTGGGAGGGAAAAGAATATTCATCAGGATGAGTGCAACGTTTTAATATATACAGGTGCGCATGCATGCAGCATGGATATTTCCTTCCTCTGGATGCTTAAAATTAATTTTTGGGTCAAGTGCTGTTAACATATTTTCTTGTGTTCGGTTTCTTGTATGATTGACTGATGTGATGAATTACATACAGGAGGATGGTGTGTGCACTTGACACTCACATACACGCACCGCGTGTGCCGACACATACAGTTGGGCACCAATGGGCCTAATAGCATCAATTAGCATGCCTCTTGACTCGGTTGCGTGACTGAGCACCCTCCAAATTGACAGAAATCTCACATATACCTCCAAATCATTCTCTCTGATCAAAGTATACATACAGGTCTCTCTATATATACAGTGTGTATCATAATTTACGAATACATATTGACTATATATAAAATTATTCTAAAATTACAAAGTTTTACCAAATTTATATAATAATAAATTTGATAATTAGGCGTATTGATTACGGCTAATTATAATATTGTTTATAATAATAATATTTATTATAACGTCCATATCCATTTATATAAACAAATTAAACAAAACCATAATGGAATTCTCCAAGCTAGTGTGTGTTCATAAAGCAATGAGCGCAGGAAATCTGATAACTTCAGATCGGTAAAATGTATGGAACATAATCTAATCTAAACTAACTTACACTGTTACTTTCTAATCGTTTTGTAAATACGTTGCTATAACAGGACATTTGGATCCACCTTATTCCATTTCTTTTTTTAAAATAAGTTTATAATTCTGGTTGGCATTATCTGCATTATTATTTAAATACAGTTCTTTAAACTTTCTATTAATTAATTGTTTCATAATTTGATTGTTAACTCTTGTAATTAAATGCATATACTCGTTCAAGGAATGTCGGAGACTACCTTTATTTATTATGACATTTCATTTTTCAAGTTGTCTACAAAACATTTTTCTATATCTTATATCTATAATCTAATTAATATATCCTATTTATTACAACATTCAAAATTCTTTTCATTTTGTGTCTCAATTTATAAACTATTAATTATTAGATAACTATTTGTTATTTTATGGAATCATATCAGCAGATTTCCAATTTTTACAAAAACCTTGTTGAATTGAATACTTAAAACCGAAATAATGAAGAAATAAAAACGTGAAAAAAGGGTTATTTTAACTATTTTAATGGATTGATAATCATTTTTTATTTTATTCACTTAAGATAATTTTATATAAATAAAACTAGAATTTCTTTACTGCAAATTTGAGAATTTTCTTGTATTTATACAGATGACATACTACAAAATTATTCCATAAATATTGTAGTTATGGATTTTAAAAACGTAGGTAACTGAACTGAAATGCCGTACAGCTGTATTTGCAGTGTATAATTTAAATTAAAAATAATAATTTAAAATAACTCTCTTTTCAATATACAACTTCATTACGAGTAAATAGTGTACATTTAAATATGCTTGCAAGTTGATCATAGTTTCTAATGATTACCTGGGTAACTACAAATAGCTTTTAAGCCAAATGTGTTACATAATATAAGATACTGTACGTTTCTGCGAATGTTATAAATATTATAGACTCACCATTATACATTATCTGCATTATCTAATTTAAATAATTAGAGGATTAATGAAAAGTACACAAGAAAAAACTCCAATTTCAATTATTAAGATTTATTAATCACAAATTGATTTTTCAAGTAAGACGTTTGAGAAATAATGTGTCAAATATCTGTTTATTTTAATTACATTATCTCCGTTGTTCGCCCCTTCTACAAAGGAGATACTTCGACGGAAAATTATTCACCGAAACTTTTCTAATTAATAATTTTCCTCCTCTCTCTCCCACCCACCGACTTCCACAATAAATTTCCATAGAGACAAATCTCGAGAATCGGAAAAAATATCGCACGCAGAAATCGATTGTCTGAAAGCTTCATTACTCTGAGAAACAAATGGTGCCCTTATCAGTTGTCCCACAAATTTCAGATCTTTCTTCCTGCTGTCCTTGTCGTCCGCCACCCTTTTTACTCCCCTAAGTCTAATTGACTTCCGATAACGTATGAGGCGACGACCATTATGTAAAGAAACGCTTGCAAATTGGCCCAAGACGGAAGCTCAAGTTGCAATTAAGCGTGCCATTTGCAGTTATGTGCCTGGACCAATTTCCAAAAGGACGCACATTAATGCACCTACTTTCCACGCAAGAAATATATATATACTCTGAGTTTAAGTATTAGTCTAATGTTACTGCTGCACTGTTAAAAAATTAGATCGTATATTTAATTTATTTACTATATAAAATAAAGTTACTAAAGTAAACTTCCTATATAACTGGTATTAAGGTAAACAAATTTAAGATTAGCTAAAACCTTAAATGATGTAGAACAATTAAATAAAAGAATACAATCAAATTAATGGACAAGTTTTAAAAGAACTGTATTAAATTACATATAGAACTAAAGTACATGAAATAATCCGGAATATAGTTTATCCTAATACTAACAAATGGATTAATGTAATAACGTCTCAAACCCAATCAATTTACTGCAAATTATATCAAAAGTAAAATATTACAAAAGCAAATGATATTTCTCACAAAAGTCACTAAATACAAAGAAGTATCTCTAGTTATTGAAGTAATTAGTTACATTTAAAAACGATATTTCATTGATGCATTCTAGGCTTCATACGGAATTTTGAAAAAATAATCTACCAACTTATGTTTAATAGATAATTACTATAAATTTTCTATTACGTAATTTGAAAATATATTATATCTGTTAATTTCCAGTAATTGTTTTTATTATGACTATAGTTTACAGTATTTCTGGTTATATTTAGTTTTGGTGAGTTATAATACTAAATGATAATTATACTAAAAATTTTTTGTTACTTCTTAACTTCATTTTCAAGAAAATAATGTATTCTGATGTGTGTTCTATCGAATAAAGCACGTTCATACATTCTTTATAATTTTTAACTTATCAAGGCATTTGAATTACAATTATTTTAATTGAATATATTTTGAATTACATATTTTATTTACAATAATTTGGACCATAGTCTTATTAACCGAAGTTTTAATTTTGTGAAATCTCTTATGTGTAGATATTTGTTATTTTTTATGAATATAAAAAAAATAGGTTATCTCTTCTATAATTAATCAATCGACCTCAAAGTTATTCAGTTCGTAATTTTAAAATTATTTGTATCTCAATTAACTCATTTTTTTGATAATTGATTTACTATTTTAGTTAATCTTTCTTAAATCTCTAAATTGTCCAACGACCACAAGGTTCTTCCTTTACGCGAAATTGTCTTGTCTCCAACGTCCTTCATCACTTCTTTATTATTGTATCATTAAAAAAACTAGTTTTCATTATCTTAATTTAATTAATAATAAGTTGTGTAAATTGATTTAAATTCGTACGCATAAATTTACGAATTCATGGTCTACACTCCTTTTTGATATATCGGTTCTCGAGTGAAAGGTACCATTGAACTTGGGACTTGATTACTTATTATATTTATTTTGCGTTGTTTTCGAAGGTATTTCTGGCGAAAAATATTTTTTTATTTTTTCAAATATTTCGGTCGAGTATAAAAGCGAACAGCGAAATCGATATCGGCACAGTCTTAACAGTCCTTTCAAGGAGGTTTAAACAGTAATTGAAATGAAATTCTTCGTAAGTTTTCTTGAGCAATCAATAATTGATTTAGTATTGTTAATCCGTTTTTTTTTTCTTTTAGATTGTATTTGCTTGCGCTTTGGCCGCTGTATCCGCCGGATACGTGAGTCCTCTGGTGTACGGAGCTCATCATCTTCAAATTGTCGGTGCTCAACATCTGGCTGTTATCGGAGCTGATGGTGTCCCAGTTGATACCGCCGAAGTCCAACAAGCTAGGGCTGAGCATTCCGTGTATAAGTTGAACGCTCAACTTAGGAACGGTGATTTGGTCCATGGTGTTGTTGCTCATGTTGCTCCAGTTGTAGCTACCCCAGTGGTAGCTACTTATGCTGCTCATTACGCTGTCCCAGCTGTGGTGTCCCATGGCGGTCTTCCTCTTGATACCGCTGAAGTAGCTGCTGCTAAGATCGAGCATTTCGCTGCTCACGCAGAGGCTTTGGCTCGTAACGCTCATGCTGTGCATTACCGTAAACGTCGTGGAATCTACGCTTATGCTCCATGGACTGCCGTCCCACAACACGTCCCAGTCATCGCCAACGGTGTCCCAGTCGAAACCCCGGAAGTTCAACACGCCAAAGCTGCTCATTTCGCCGCTCACGCTGAAGCTAAAGCCCTTAACGGCGTCGTAGCTCCCTTCGTAGCTCACTCCTTGGTTTCCCAGGAAGTCCCAGTCATCGCCAACGGAGTCCCAGTCGATACCCTCGAAGTGCAACACGCTAAGGCCGCTCACTTCGCCGCCAAAGCCGAAGCCCACGCTCGCAGCGGTCACTACGCTCACGATTTCATTGGATACACTGGTGTAGCTCACCACGTCCCAGTCATCGCCAACGGTGTCCCAGTCGAAACCCCAGAAGTACAACACGCCAAGGCCGCTCACTTCGCCGCTCACGCCAACGCCATCAACAGTCAATACGTCCACGGATACACTGGTGTAGTATCTCCAGTTGCCTACCATGTCCCAGTCATCGCCAACGGTGTGCCAGTGGAGACCCCAGAAGTACAGCACGCCAAGGCCGCTCACTTCGCAGCTCACGCCAAAGCCGCCGCTCACTCTTACCACTATTAAGAAAATACAATCAAACGATCAATAGATTCTGTTAGAAAAAAGGCTGTAAAGATCCAGAGTTTCGAGTCTATAGTGATATTCACTAATACGACTTAGATAGCTGGACATTTTTTTTCTCTGTAATTATTTAGATAGTAAATTAAATGAATTCAAAAATTTCGCAATAACCAATGTTTCTTTCATTTACAAATTCCAAAACCCTATTTAAAAATCTCAACTGACTTGTTGACTTCATCTTTGTAGGTGTCAATAATGATATTGTTGATTATGAGTGGTCTGTGAATTCGCTCTATATGTTTGTTCATTCTTATCAGCAGATTCTTCGTCCGTATATATTTTGAATTTTAATTCTTACTTTTGTGAGTCTCTTTACTGATTGGTAAGTTCTGTCAGTGCATGGCTATTCATTGTGATTATTTCTCCACAATATTGAAACTTTGGTGTCAAGTCAGTGGTACATGTTTCAACTATATACTCTCCTCCACACTCATTCAAAATTAGTTCATTTTTTATTTGTTTCTATTTATGTTTGTTTTAATCCGGAAACCAGATTTCATTTTTATTATTTGATCTTCATTTCCATCACCATCCAGCTATTCCCAAGAATCTATCATAGATCACCTTGAAATATTTTTTTTCTTCATTAAATAGTAATATAGTAAATAAATAGGTATGTTAATGTTTTTTCATAATATTTGTTTAATTTTGACCCTTTTTAAGTTTTTGATTCAATTGTTCATTTTCACGAGGTTGTTGTCTTTACTTGGTTTTTGTATTTTGTTGTTGAAGTATTTTTATTAATATTGTTTGGTGTTTAGTTGTATTTTTTTTGTTGATTAGTTTGTTTTTTTAATTTATTTGTTGATTAGTCTGTTGGTCTAGTGATTTTTATTGAGTTGAGTCTTTCTTAGTCTCATTTGCAGTTTTTCAGTTCTTTATTTCTAAGATTTTACTAAAATATGTTGTTTATATATGAAAATAAAATACAATTATTTCACAAATTATGTAATCATTACATGAATAATTAAAAAGACAAAAACCGAAAAAATAACAAACTATCTTATTTTTAAAGACCTCTATTTTTTTTAAACCTTGTAGAATGAACTTTTTGTAGAATGTAGGTGACGACAAGGCGAGGATTTTTATTGGATTTTGCGTTATAGTGTGTCAATCGATCGGGGGGAGTCTTGGAGAGCAATTGAGTATGAACACATGAAATGCAGAATAATTAAAAACTTGAGGAGCACGGCAAGAATTCAAGTAAAAATCGATGAGATAAAAATGCTTCGATAACAATAATATTCATTAAAAGCTGGGGGTGCTGCGGTTGGCGACTTTAATTAGTGGGCGAGTATAATGAAAGCCTCAATGGGCAGATTTCAACCCTAATTCCAAGTTCGTTTAATTTTCTACTGTTTTTAATTTCATTTCATTCATTTATATTATTGAACAGTTTTATGTCAAGTTCCCTAAAGCGGTAGATTTATATCACCTATTTCGATAATACGTGCTAAAACGCCAAGATTTTAATGATCTCCGCAATTTGTGTTTTCGTTGGTTCATTATTTTCAATCTTGAATGAGAATAATGATTTATATATTTATTCAAGTGCATTTCGCTGCGCACTTCTCTATGAACTAAGAGCATTTCTCCTTCAACTTGGGATTATTAATTCGATAGTCTACAGAGTGATTGTATTTACACTTAAATTATATATACATCTTCGATCATTTTAATAAAAATATAATTTGATGCAGTTATTTATTTTATTACAATCAAGTATTCAACGTCTAATTAATACTACATAACTCTATTTAAATAAAAAACAAATTAACAATGTAAACGTTAACTTAATTATTACTTTGATCACAGAGAATAATTGTTAGGTATTTAAAATATGATGCTGATACTTTAATACTTATATTTTAAAATGTGATTTCACTATTATGTAAGTTGACAATCAATTTTTTCTTTGTTCTAAAAAGTAGGAAACTTGAAGGATAGAAATAAATTATTTTTCTTTGTATATATAATATAATACAAAATGTATTATTGTGTTTCGGAATTGATGGATTTCTACTCTACAAAACAACAGTAATTAAAGTTTATTAATATTAATTTGACTTTGTCAAAGGTATGAAAGCATCGAATCGTTTCGTTGATTTTACTAATATTAAATTGCATTTTATGGTGTGTGAAAATAATGGTGTGGTGTGTGATTTCCTGAGCATTTTTGAAATATTTCATAAAGTCTGACATCTAGGTCGTTTATACAAAATCTTATAACAGTTTGAAAAAACTGTTTATTTCGAATATGACGCTAGTAAAACAAGTCAAGAAACCTCATTTCAATGGATCAGGTAGATTAATGGATAAATTTACCTGATCTTATTTTAAGTAGAAAAGTCAATTCAAAGAACGAACAAACGAACGAAAATGATGATCTGCAGCAAATAAAAATTAATCAGTTAATACTTAATTTAACAGTAGTTTGCTAATAAATTTTTTAATCAATTAAATGTTGTTGAACACAAATATTAAAAACTGTAGATTGTAATTTGTATATGTTTATTATAATATATATTTTAACAGTACAATAGTCATATAAAACGTGAATCAAATACATACAAATAATTATATAAAGCTGAAAGAGTAGCAGCTCCAAATATAATAAATTGCTGTAGGTAATGTAATGTGATTATTAGGATAATGAACTGAACTTATAACTATAGTTATTAGTAATAACTAATAATTATTGCAAAGCTTTTGACCATAGATCTTTACAAATATTGATTGAATAACTAATACAATAAAACATATACAAATATAAAAAGAACAAAATAAATATATATAATTTCAAAAAAGTCAACTGATACAAAGGGCTATTGAAATATTTTTTATGTAACTTAATTCTATATTTATAAATAAATTACTATTAAAATATAAACAAATTTTATTTGCAATATAAACGTAACACTTTAAACATCATACAATGTGTTTAATCTAATATGGAATCACCCTATATAGCTGCTCACCGCAGCATATAATACTGGACCTGAAAGTCCTATTAGCATTAAGTGCTTTAAGTTTCTCAAAGGCTTTGTTATCGTAATTATAAACCTATAATAAGCCCAGGTAGCTCAACAATGCAGGATAAAAAGTAGCTGCTCGCATGCTGTATGAAAGTGCTTTTAAGGCATCATTCGTGCACTAAAACAAAGTTTCAAAGCAATGCGATTCTCCGAAATGATATAATGAAATAAACATATAATCTTGGTAAAGATGAAAACAATAATTAACTGTTCTTTAATAATATTATGTTGCATGTATTAATTTGGAAGTCGCATTATATTCGCTCCAATGCATATTATTGTTGTTGTTATTGCATTCTCCAAAATAAGGCATGATCAGTTGATTGAGCCATTAAGATTTCAATCAGATTATGTTAATTAGGTAACCAGAGTCTTAAATGAATCATTCAATTCCATTTTATGCGCATTTGTATAAAATAATAAGAATTATCTTTATTGCAACAGTCACATATAAACATTTCCATTCAATAACAACATTAATAATAATAAAACTACAAAAGATTAACTGCTGCAAAAGGCTATTGATCTGTGCATTTATATATTTAACAACATTTTATCAAAATAATATAAAGTGAAAATAATTCAAAAACATGTAGATCCGATAATTATGAAACTTGGACTACAAGAATTAATCAAACGATTAGCCATGTCCATAAATAACATTGATACATAAAAATTATTCAAGTATAACGATTATGATATGTTATTTACTAAGATCGATCAAAAATGGAACATTTTGGAAGTTAAAAAGAAAAGATTTTTTGGTTGTTATTGAACAGGCCTTGGAAACTTTTAAGATAGAAGATTCAAATATATATTTCAAACTATATTTAAAAATACTATTTAATAGTTTTCTTTCATTTTTACATAGGGCCCATGTCTCACTGGGGGGCAATTTGATTGTTCAAGTCAATTCAAGTTTCCCAGTAATTTCGTCCTAAAACTTATCATTTAAGTTTTTGAATATTAAAAAATATGTATATGTTACTTAAAAATTTTAGAGAGGTTTAGATTGACATGGTACCAAAAAGGTTGGGAAACATTGCGTTAGAGAAGTGTATGTCAAACTTTTTTTCTTCACGGACAAGGACTGAGCAAGGAGAATTTATTTCGCGGCACACCAAATAAAAATTTCAAGAAAATTAAATATATATCAATAAATATAAATAAATTTTTCGAAAACATTTTATCAAACATACAATATAGATAATAATTTTATTAGTGATAAATTTCCTTTCAAGAGTCATCAAACTTCTGTATTAAGCATTAAACACATAAAATCAGAATCTATTGTTTCACATAGGGATGCAAAAATACTGCAATATCGGGAATTATAATTTAAGTAATGCCCATCAGGTAAAGATTTTGACACCAATACTTCGTAGGGTCGTGCAATGTTCATTTGAGATATTTTTATTACACAAAGCCTTTTATCGACATTGCTAACACTAGTTTGCCACTGCATCCCTCTCAAGATGACGTTTTGGTTTACAAGGTTAAAGACATCTTCTGTTGATTTCTCCTTCAATTTACAACAGAAAAACTGGCTTATAAATTTACTACCTTTGATCATTCTTAAAAATGAAATTAGATGAGCTTTGTTGCTGAGTCCGTACCTTCATAGATTTGTAAGGCCCACAGGTGTTCGAGTTCTTTAGCAATTAAAAGAGCTGAAAAAAATATTATTAATCTATAAAATTTAATTTAAGACATTAAATTATTTCCAAAAATCTATAGTTTACTATCAAAAATTATGAAATAGTATTGAATATCTTAGGCAACCAAATATACACGAATACATATTTATCTACAAAAAATGTGAATTGTATGGAGATATCTCATTAAATTACATCAAAGAAATAATAATATTTGTATTACAATTAGATATTATGTTACAATTATTTATAATGCAAAAGATGATAGTTTTTCAGTGATTGAGAAAACCTTGTTAGTAAAGAAGGCAAAATTAAAGAATTCCATACCAATAAATGTTATCAAAAAAATATTTAAAAAAGTGCTTAAAGGACATTGAAAACGTCCTGCTTTATAAAGTAGTGTTATTATTAATCTATACTTGACATTTTGCTTAACTAAGTAATTTCATAGAACCCTGCCTATTCTTCAAACATGGTATAACTATATATTTGATAATTGTTATGGAGTACCTCTTTTTATTATTGTAAATTAATAAATGAGTTAACTTATGAAATGGGACTGATTTACTAATTTTGTTTTATATCCAAAAGATAACATTTATTATTATTAAATGTCTTTATTGGCAACAATTATGATCAAAACTAGTTAAAAATCCAATGTACATAGCAACAACAGTAAACAGAAAGTGATTAATTTAAAATACAATTATTTATTATAGAATAAAGGAGGTGAAATAAATAATATACATCTTTTTTTAATAATTCATATATATTTCCAACTTGTATAAATTTTATAAATATTTTTTTAAACAATAATAAATAAATAGATAAATCAAACAATACCTCTTTGGAATGTATAAACAGTAGTTTTAATCTGCGAAATATACTTTCAACGTTCGGAATCGAAGAGAAATTGCATCAAAACTAGTTAAAAATCCAATGTACATAACAACAACAGTAAACAGAAAGTGATTAATTTAAAATACAAATTATATTTAGGCTCATTGAAACCGAGAATATGGACATTTTGTATTTCAATTTAAAAACTTATTCATAAAAAATAAATAATAAAAAATAATTTAAAAATAATATTATTAATAATTTAGTAGTTAATATTTTTTTATCTTATAACCGCAACTTGTATTCGTCTTCTCTGGTTCTTATTTGTTAGTGAAATAAAAATTTCCGTGCAGTGAAAGAAGAATTTCGCATTTATTATGTGATTCTTTTGTTTTTTTTTTCTTGTTTTTTTTGTTCTGTTTCTATTATTATAAACACAAAGTATTGAAGTAAAAGCGATCAATCTTATTACCAGAGATTTGTAAAGGTTACTTCCTAACTTTGTATTCATAACCCTTTGAAATTTGTTGTTTTATTTTATTCCTTTTCGCGGACAAATGAATTCATACATTTGATTTACCTTTAATGCACAGCCAATGAAAGTATAATTTTGCAGATTAAACTGGGCATTTATAACTAATTTTTTTTACATTTTATTTTAACCCTTTTTAACCATTCCACCTCAAATATACCATTAATATATACTATTATATCTCACAAATAATCGAGCATATTAGCTGGAAAATATAATATACACATCTATATTAATGTTTTTTTTTTCATAAATAAATAATATATAAATACATATATGTTTCCGTTTGTTATCTTTTGATAATATTTACAGGATTACTTTGAAAAGTAGAAGGAAATTTAGGAAGATGCAAGCCACGCAAAATATGATGAGCCAAACACCTTTGTGCATCATCTCATTCGCGTGTTCTTTCTTGTATAACCTATTCTTATGCTTAGAACCTAGAAATAAATATAGTTATTTAGTCACGTGGCTCTGTCTACGACCTAGCTTTAAATTATGTCAGAATAAATAACAGTAATTTATGATCATTTTTTAGTACTTATGTAAATTTTAATATACAGTGGAACCTCGCTTAATTTAAGTTTAATCCATATTCAAAAATACACAAGTACACAAGTCTTAAAAATTATGTAACGCAATCCGGGACTTTTCTTCCCATCGTCACTCGTTATGCGAAACATCGCTCGTTAAGCGAGTAATTTTTCATATTCATATTGCTCATTAAACGAAATATTCGTTATGCTAGGTGCTAGTTAAGCGAGGTTCCACTGTATATAATTTTTTGATAGAAACTATTAACAATTTCTTTGCTTAATTTTTATTCCAAATTGATGATTGTGAAGTTCCCCTAGATTCAAAACATAAACAATTTATTTGTTATCAATAAACTGTCTTTAAAGCTCAAGTGAAAAGAACATATCAAAAAAGCGTTTCTTTTTCGAAAATAAATTATTACGAAATTAATATCCTTTTATAATTTATACGTGTTTCTCGAAAATTTTCAATGGAATTGAATATGACCAATTTGTAATTGTAATGGATATAAAATAAATACTATGAATCAGCAATATTCCATAGAGCAATACAATTCAATAAATTTTTCTATGAAAATAAAAAATATTTCAATTTCTAAGCTTCACTTACAAAAAAAATCGATATATAAAATTTACTTTTTTTGCATAACAATGCAAGAAAAATTGAAGGGCAAAGCGCAGTTGATATACTTACTTCTCAGATGCGCATCCAATTGGGTTTGACTATTCGCAATTATTTCGCATAATTGGCATTCAAAGGTTTTCCCTTCCCGTTCAACTCTCATAAGATGTTTCCTTCCTTCAATGTGTCTACGTAATACATTATTACTCGTTACTTTGATACCACATAAATCACATGTATATACCTAAAATTAAAGAATAAAAAATAGTTAGCTACATACGCACAGACACGTGCTGTTTGAGAATAAATTACTTTTCGTTTCAAGTCAATCAATTTATTAACGTTTTCCTTCTCTTGCGTAACGTGAAGCCCATCTGGTTCGAAATGGATCTCTTCGATAGGATTACGAATTTCACCAGACATTTTCACATTAACGTTGCACTAAGCAGACATTTACATTAAACGGCACAAACATAAATGTGCAGACTCAATCAGTATCTTTGAAACGAAATATTTTTTTCTTCTATATTTTAACGAAAAAAATTAAATGTTTAAATATAAATGTAGCAAGTTGCGAAAAACTAAGAATTCAAAATTTAGCGCCATATTTTGAATTTAGTTACATTTCATGTTTCTTCACCAGATGGATTGTTTTGCTGTAAATAAAGCTAACCTCTAATATTAATTAATAAATTCGTAACTAGCAATTATTATTATTTGAATATATAAACATGAAGGAGGAAGAAGTTGATACGAAAAACTTAATCAAAAGCCGTGAATTACTGTATAGACTGATAATAAGGTGAGTTTAATGTTTTAACTATATAAAACAAATGCTAATCATTATTTTGTAGCCAATTGTTTTATGATGGTCATCAGAGTCTTGGAACATCACTTACCAGTGCTGTGTCTGCAGATCCTCCCTGCTCACCATCTGATAGATTATTACATCTTGTGATAGCTGGTTTAGACCATGAACCGGAAAGAAAAGAAAGAGCTCCAAATCACACAATTGGCAGTAATACCATTGGCCCAGGATTGGGTAAAATTATTTTATTAATCAATTAAGTGTTATCAGACTTATTTATAAATTATTTGCAGATTTGGAGTTTGAAACTGATGCTAATATACCAGCACCAGAGCCTGCTCTATATGAGACAGCCTATGTTACTTCACACAAAGGCAATTGCAGGGCTGGTTGTTTTTCTACTGATGGGCAGCTAATAGCTACTGGGAGTGTAGATGCTAGTATTAAGGTATGTACAGTGCTTTTTTAAAACTACAATTTATTAATATTGTTATATAGATTTTAGATGTTGATAGGATGTTAGCTAAATCTGCACCAGATGAAATGGATCCAACAAGAGGTGAACAACAAGGACATCCAGTTATAAGAACACTTTATGATCATATGGAAGAAGTAACTTGTCTAGAGTTTCATCCAAAAGAACCAATCCTAATATCTGGATCGAAAGACAACACAATAAAAATGTTTGATATTTCTAAAGCCAGTGTCAAAAAAGCGTTTAAAACAATCACAGTACATCATTCAATTATGATCCATTGCTTTTCTTAATGGATATTTGTTTTAGGAAGCAGAATCAGTGAAATGTTTCTCATTTCATCCAGGTGGAGAACATTTAATTGTTGGCACACAGCATCCAGTTGTAAGATTATATGATGTAAACACATTACAATGCTATGTAGGAAGTATACCATCGCATCAACACACTGGCACTATAACATCTCTGAAATGGTCACAAGATGCTAAAATATATGCATCTGCAAGTAGAGATGGTAGCATTAAACTGTGGGATGGAATTTCAAGTAAATGCATCAACACATTTGCGAAAGCTCATGACGGTCTTGAAGTTTGTTCAGTTTCTTTCTCAAAGAATGGTAAATATCTGTTATCTGCGGGCAAGAATTCCATATGCAAACTGTGGGAGTTATCAACAAGCCGCTGTTTAATCGCTTACACTGGTGCTGGAACAACTGGAAAACAAGAATTTGAAGCTCAGGCTGTCTTCAACCACACTGAAGACTACGTCTTATTCCCGGATGAAGCAACAACATCCCTTTGCGCCTGGAATTCGCGGAATGCATCCAGAAAACAATTAATGTCACTCGGACATAACGGCGCAGTTCGATTAATTGCGCATTCGCCCACACAGGCTGCATTTTTAACTTGTTCTGACGACTTCAGAGCTCGATTTTGGTACCGAAGGACGCCAACATTATGAGAAGAGGAATAGTTTTTCTTTTACATTATTATTTTGTTTCCTATTTTCCATCATTTAGAGATATCGCTGCGAATTTCTAATTTACTATTAATTTAAATCGCCCCAAATAATATCAGTCTTAAGTAATACATTTATGTTTATTTATATTGTAACAATGATATTTACTTGTTGCTATTTCTCTGAATTGTGTTAAATAATATTAATTTACAACAACAATATTATAGTATAACTGTTTGATATTACAATATGATTAACTATAACATATTGTAATGTCCATTTATATGTTTTACTAAGTATATTTGTATATTTAATAAATAAATCCATTTTTAATGGTGTTATTCGAATGTTTTCTCTCCAATAAGAATATCACGTTGTTACCATGACAACCATAAATTATATCATTCATATTTCAGTATTTGAAAAATATGAAATACTAAATTAACAGTTACAAGAGGATGGAAACAATACTTTTGTGACTCATCTTGTGTAATATTGATTTTGTTTGAAATTACAAATTTGCGCAATCTGTTTTATTAAATTATTTTTAAAAACTTGCTTATCGGATTGGGTGTGAACCTATAAATTTTGTTTGTTATAAAATTATCAATTATTATTTTATATTAACCAGTGTTTCTAAGTTCATGTCCTAAATAATGCCAACGTAATTAATGATTATTTAAAATTTTCAAGTAAAACATTTCCTATAAAAATAATTAAACATTTTTATACTAAGTTCAGAATTGTGTAAATACTAGTAATTAAATTTCCTTTTAAGGAAGTTTAATCCATGGTTTAATCTGAATGCAGCAATTATTGGTGTATGTGTCATGGTCATTGATGACAGGACTTGTCAAAATGCGCTGCACAACATAAGACCAAAGACGTGCGGGAGTAAAAAAATGGTTTGACGTAGACGTTGAAAAAGTAATAAAGTAAATTTAAAAACTACTTTTGAAGGAACGGAAATTTACTATTAATCATGTTTTGCAAGGTAAAACAGCTTGTACACAAGACACCCATAATAACATGCTGTAACACTTGATTTACATTCATTTCAGAAACAATTGTTTTTGGCTGGGCTTTTGATCCTGTATTCTGTATGTTTAACACATCAGTTTTATGTTCCTGGCATGGCCCCAGTGGAGTTCAAACAGGGCCAGCCAATTGATGTCAAAGCTGTGAAAATGACCAGCATCCACACTCAGTTACCTTATGAATATTATTCATTACCATTCTGTGTCCCCAAGAATGGAACATCCTCCATTCATTATAAATCTGAGAATTTAGGAGAGGTCTTGAGGGGTGATCGTATTGTGAACACACCATATGAAGTGCATATGGCTGAGAACACTCCATGCAAATTACTATGTCATGAACCAAATAAGCCGATACATTGGGACACTGCACAATCTAAACAAGTTATTGATAGAATCCAACATGAATATTTTGTTCATCTGTATGTATAAATCATATTAACAATAATGTAGTAATTTTTGTAAATAATCCTTTTAGGTTGGTTGATAATTTGCCAGCTGCTGCAAAGGTATTGAATCCAGAAACAAATGAGGTGCAGCAATATGAACATGGATATAGATTGGGTAATGTGATGGGTGATAGAAGTTACATCTACAATCACTTGAAATTAATTTTGGCTTACCATAATCCTTCACCGTAATGATTCTACTATTTTTAGTTTTTTGCATTCTAAATAGTTTTATTTTAGGTCTGTGTACAGGGTGGTTGGATTCCATGTTGAAGCAAAGTCAGTACACATTGATGATATTAAATTCAACAACAAAGTTTGCTCATTCCCAAATAAACCTAGACCTCAATTAGTAGATGGTAAAAGAGGAACAAGGCTTTACTTCACATACGAAATTGAATGGGAACCTTCTCAAGTCAGTTGGGCTTCTAGATGGGATACTTATTTAGCCATGAGCGATGTGAAAATTCATTGGTTTTCCATTATAAACTCGTTGGTCGTCATTTTCTTCTTATCAGGTATGCAACATGCAATATGGTAAATGCATTAAATGATTCCAATAATTTATTAGGTATATTAACTATGATTATGGTAAGAACGTTGAGAAAGGATATTGCAAGATATAATGCTGATGAAGGAATCGACGATGCCATTGAAGAAACTGGCTGGAAATTAGTACATGGAGACGTATTCAGGCCTCCAAGAAACTCGCGACTATTTGCTGCTGTCATTGGCTCTGGAATACAGATATTTTTTATGGCCTTAATAACCATATGTAAGAATGCAATCTGTTGTTGAAGAATCGATATCTATGACTACCTTATTTTCAGTTTTCGCTATGTTGGGAATGTTATCGCCGGCATCCAGGGGAGCTTTGATGACCGTAGCCATATTCTTATACGTATTCATGGGTTTGATCGCTGGGTATTTCTCAGCCAGATTATACAAAACTATGAAAGGTCGCGAGTGGAAGCGAGCTGCCTTTTTGACTGCTACCTTATATCCAGCTATAATTTCAATTACTTGTTTCTTCTTGAATTTCTTCATTTGGGGAAAAGCAAGCAGCGGTGCTGTTCCTTTCTCGACAATGTTGTATTTGTTAACAATGTGGTTCTGCATTTCGCTTCCTTTGGTATACTTGGGATACTATTTTGGTTATAGGAAACAACCATATCAACATCCAGTAAGAACGAATCAGATTCCAAGACAGGTACCTGAGCAACATTGGTATATGAACCCGTTATTATGGTAATACATTACTAGTATTTTACAAGAAAATATACATTAAATATATTTCTTTATTGCAGCACACTCATGGCCGGCATTTTACCATTCGGAGCAGTTTTTATTGAATTATTTTTCATATTCACTGCAATATGGGAAAATCAATTCTATTATCTGTTTGGCTTCTTGTTCTTGGTATTCATCATTTTAGTAATTTCCTGCTCTCAAATATCGATTGTAATGGTATATTTCCAACTATGCGGTGAAGTAAGTTAACAAATAACTCTATTTACTTTTTAAGTTAACATTTTATTAATTACAGGATTACCATTGGTGGTGGAGAAGTTTCGTTGTTTCCGGTGGATCGTCGATATACATTTTGACCTATTCATTGTTCTATTTTGTTGCCAAACTAGAAATTACTGAATTCATACCAACCCTCCTGTACATTGGATACACAGGTCTAATGGTCTTAACGTTCTGGCTATTGACCGGAACTATTGGATTCTTTGCCGCTTACGCATTTATAAAGAAGATTTATGGAGCCGTTAAAATTGACTAAATTAAATCCAGCTCACCCAAACTATTCGATTTCCTTAGTTCTAGCAGTAACAAACTGCAAATTTACGAATGTCTGTGTTCTTTTTACATATTTTATTTTATTTTTAGTTATTGTTTTATTTGAATACTTCTTTCTAAGAACTAAGCCAAAATATATATGTGTATATAAATGTTTTGTCAAAAAAAAAGTGGAATTATGTGAATGTTGTAACATTTCGGTAAGTCAGGGATTACCTAATCACTTCTATATATGTATAAATTTCCAAGATCTAATTGTAATCTTATGTAGACATTTCAGTTTATCGTATGAACGAAACGGAAGATTTTGAAATTGATTCTTCGAGGTTGGATATATTTTTTTATGTGGAAACTAAATGATACAAATTAGTTCAGTTTTAATTTATTAGTAGTTTAGATAGATGATAATAATTTAAATAAACAAATGAATTTAATCCAATTTTGCTTTTGACGATTTGTAATACTTGTTCACACTAGTTAAAGACATGAACACTGGAATCATTATTGGTAGAAATAAAGGAATGTAAACAGCATATCTGAAACAATTAAACATTGTTACAAGCAAAAAGAACGTATCTATACAAAATAATAAACTTACTTCTGATCATCTGGAAAATAAAGTAAGGCTAGCAATGATGGATCACTAAAAGCTTCTTCTGAGTTCTTGAAAGCTAGCTGAGAAGCTTTAAGAGCCTCATTAATATTGTTTTCCTTTAAATATGCATCTGCCTCATTGGCATATTTCAAAGCATTTTCTATTTTGGTAGCTACTTCATCACTAATGACAATACTATTAATTTCAGATAGAAGTTGGGCTAAAGATTTCAATGTTCTCCTAGTGGATTCAACCATTTCAGTTGCTTTTGTTTTCTTCAACACTTCAATATCTTTAAGACCAAACAATTCTTTTAATTGGATCAAGAATGTTCCTATCACAGATTTCAAATTTGGCATTATCCTCTTTTCTTTGCATGATTTGCTATCTGCATTGATTACACTAATTCCTCCCCATCTAGGGCTCAAAAATGCATTACTATCCACTTTCTGATTCATATTATTATACAAATAAATAGGAGAATTGCATTTTGTAAAATAGAGAACAAGATTCAAACAGGGCCTTGGAGACATATGAGACCAGATTTTCTTCTCAAGTGGTGTTATGATATGAGGCAACTGTTCTTCAAATAAAACTAATTCCCCTTTGTAATCCTTGGGAGTTACACCCAAATCTGTGAGGTATAGCCACTGTGATTTAACAGTGAAATTTGCTATGGGAGTAATTGTAGTTAAGAATGGTTGTAAATTAGCTTTCAAATCCTCTGCTTTAAGATCAATATTTAGATTCTGTGGTTCAGGATTAATCAATGTTATCAAAACATCATACTCCAGACTGAGAGGCAAACTGTTCTCTCGTATAGTCTTGCTTGGTATTTCAACATTGATCATATCATTAATGGGCAATGGGGCACGATAGACCCTTGTTGTGTACCACCAAACTGGTACTCCTATTACTACTAACACAATGAAATAATAAATAACGCTGTAAACCCTGTACTTCGCTTCTGGATCATTTTCAATTCTTTGATCATCATCTACAAATACATTTTTAGGTTATATTTATTTAAACAATAATTTCTTACCATAAACTTCATCATCATCTTTGTTATTTTTTCTATCAACTTTACTGGACATGTTAATACTTTTTTATAAATTAAGTGTCTGTTTCTTTCTTCTTTATAACTGAATTATATGGATCACATACAACTGACAATACTATTTTGAAATATTTACTAGGTACACTTAGGTGTAATAGATAACTAGATATTAATGCTGTAATAATTTGATAAACATAAACAGTAATATATTACAGATCAGTATAAATGCGGTAACATAAATGTCTTCTTATATGTTTTCGTATATTCTTATTAAATGAAAAAAAGATGTTTAATATATTGATTAGTATGATCATAACGCGCATGGCAACTATTTAAAATTTTAAAAGTCTAATTGTTTAGTCTAACTCGACTTAATGGAATATATATATTCCATTTGAATTATAGAAGATTTGATAAAGTTGTATCGTTTTATACTGTTTACTATTATTACAATACGTTGCAGAAAAATATTACCACGCCCTAAGCAAATCTCCGGATTATCGACCATGAGAAGTTATTAACAAAAATATAATGAATATATACTATTTAAATTATTATTTATAATTTGCACATATTTTGTCTTTACAATAAATTAATGGACTTACGATCTTTTATGGATATAAAATGTATTACTCATATTAAGTTCATATACGAACGTTCAATGTTTTCTTCAAGGTTTTATCATGGTTAGAATATAAATCAATCAAGGCCTAATGCAATTCTCAAATGATTAGTTTGTGAAGTATTACTTAAATATGAAAAACATTGCAATTGAAGTTTAAATTAGTTTCTTAATAGGAAAGTGGAATACCTAAATTAAATAAATATTTGCACATTTCGATTTTAATTGTAAGGGTTGCAAAAATGAAATAAGTAAAAAATTATTTCTATTTGAATTTATTTGGAAACAAAATCAGTACAGAGTTTTTCACACATTATTTCTCATTTTATATGTTAACTTGTTTTGAAACATAGACCACACTTCGCTATCTATGGTTTGTAATGTGTAAGATAACCATGGCTAAATAATACTTGTATCAAAATAAGATTATAAATTATGTACAAAATGAAAAAATAAAAAGCGTATAAGGGAATGAGAACATATTAGAACACATGTCCTAAGAGGAAAACATGGTTAGAAAATTGGTTGATTAATGAAAGAGATTTAATTTAATCTACTTCCTCCATGCGGGAAGAATCTTCGGTTTCTTCAATGACTGGGGCGTCGCCAGCTGGCAAATCTTCAGTAACCATATCTTCTTCATCAATGCTAAGACCAAGCTTGATCATTCTGTAGATCCTGGAAGCATGGACTTGTGGTTCATCCAGGGTGAATCCAGAGCTCAACAAAGAGGTCTCGAAAAGAAGCATAACCAAATCCTTGACGGACTTGTCGTTCTTATCAGCCTGAACCTTTTCACGGAGGTTATCCATGATGGCGTGATCTGGGTTGATCTCCAAATGCTTCTTGGCAGCCATGTATCCCATGGTGGAAGTGTCACGGAGAGCTTGAGCCTTCATGATACGCTCCATGTTGGCGGTCCAGCCATATTGAGAAGTAACAATGCAGCATGGAGATTCGACGAGACGGTTGGAGACAACAACCTTTTCAACCTTGTTGTCCAAAATAGTCTTCATGACCTTGCAAAGACCTTCGAATTTCTCCTTATCTTCTTCGCGCTTCTTCTTCTCATCCTCATCCTCTGGGAGTTCAAGTCCTTCCTTGGTTACAGAAACCAATTGCTTTCCATCATATTCTTTCATTTGTTGCACAACATATTCATCAATTGGCTCAGTCATGTAAACGACTTCGAATCCACGTTTCTTAACGCATTCAACAAAGGAAGAGTTCGAAACTTGTTCCTTGCTCTCACCAGTGATGTAATAAATGTGCTTTTGGTTGGCCTTCATGCGGCTCACATACTCCTTGAGGGAGCATGCTTCATCACCACTGGCAGAAGTGTGGTAACGGAGTAATTCAGCGATCTTTGCTCTGTTTTGGGAGTCTTCATGGATACCCAATTTCATGTTCTTGGAGAATTGTTCATAGAACTTCTTGTATCCTTCCTTATCTTCAGCAAGTTCATCAAAGAGTTCCATGCATTTCTTAACCAGATTCTTCCTGATTACCTTAAGGATTTTGTTTTGTTGCAACATTTCACGGGAAATGTTCAATGGAAGATCCTCGCTGTCAACAACACCCTTCATGAAGTTAAGGTATTCTGGGATGAGTTCTTCGCAGTTATCCATGATGAACACACGACGTACGTACAATTTGATGTTGTTCTTGCGCTTCTTGTTTTCGAAAAGATCGAATGGTACGCGTTTTGGTACGAAGAGGAGGGCACGGAATTCAAGTTGGCCCTCAACGCTGAAGTGCTTTACAGCTAAATGATCTTCCCAGTCGTTGGTGAGAGATTTGTAGAACTCACCATACTCTTCTTGGCTGATGTCATCAGCATTACGAGTCCAAATTGGCTTGGTCTTGTTCAATTCTTCATCTTCAGTGTATTTTTCCTTGATGGTCTTCTTCTTCTTTTCCTTCTTATCCTTGTCTTCCTCTTCATCTTCACCTACATCTTCAATCTTGGGCTCATCCTTGTTTTCAGCTTCATCCTCTTTCTTGTCTTCCTCAGCTTCATCATCGCTCAATTCCTTTTCACGTTCCTTCTCTACGAGCAACTTGATTGGGTAACCAATGAATTGAGAGTGCTTCTTGACGATTTCGCGGATCTTCTCTTCTTCCAAAAATTCAGTTTGATCTTCCTTAATGTGGAGAATAATCTTAGTACCGCGACCCAAGGGTTCTCCTTGATCAACGCAAACGGTGAAGCTACCACCAGCAGAGGATTCCCAAATGTACTGTTCATCATCATTGTTCCTGGACATTACAGTAACTTTGTCAGCTACAAGGTATGCAGAGTAGAAACCAACACCAAATTGACCAATCATAGAGATATCAGCTCCAGCTTGCAGAGCTTCCATGAAGGCCTTGGTTCCAGATTTGGCAATGGTACCCAGATTGTTAACCAAATCAGCCTTGGTCATACCAATACCAGTGTCAATGATGGTCAAAGTTCCCTCGCTCTTGTTCGGGATGATTTTGATGAACAATTCTTTGCAAGCATCCAACTTGGATGGGTTGGTAAGAGATTCATAACGGATTTTGTCCAAAGCATCTGAAGAGTTGGAAATCAACTCACGAAGAAAGATTTCTTTGTTGGAGTAGAAGGTGTTGATGATCAAGCTCATCAACTGAGCAATCTCAGCCTGGAAGGCAAAGGTCTCAACATCTTGAGTTTCTTCAGGCATCTGAACAAAAAAAATATATATTAATTATTTTTATTAATAATTGGTATAATTAAAATTACAAACATTTGTGATTATCGCAATGAATCAAATACCCTTAGATTTAACATTAAATTGTCAATATTAATATTATTCCAAATTGACTGACCAACAAATTTTATGAAAAAAAACTGCATTTTTAATTACAGCAACTACGCCCTTCAGTCATATTAAAAATGGTCAAGAAAATAATGATTCAAATATAAAGTAAATGCAAAATAAAAAATGATTCTACAAGAAAATAGATTTTTTTCTGCTAATAACATCAATATCAAACATTCAATAAATTGTTGGTACAATTAAGATGTTTAAAAATATAGTTGAAATACATTCTGCACTATTGAATGAAATTCCTATTGGATTCATGAAAACGTAAAAACAAAATGCCGGCACATGTGCCGAGTCGGTTTTTAATTATAGCATGAAATAAATATTTTACAACGTCGAATTTATACCAGAAATAATTATGCAAAGCACGGGAATAACTTTAACTTACGTTTATTGGTGATCTCTGTAGTTCTTTCTGATAAAAATTGTTCAAATTCACACTGGAATCGCCTCTCTCACTAGCGTCAGCTCCGCTCGCTTGTTCAGTTGAAATTGATTTCGCTCGGCAACGGTCGCTCTCTTTTATAGCCTGCTTGCTTCTAGAACAATCTGGAACATTCTCGAAGCATATCGATCGAACCTCTCATTCTAATAAACAAGGACGCTGGCCAACTGTTTCCGTTCTACAACGCGCGAAATTTAAAAAAGCTGTCGCTTGGTATATAGTTATTGACAATTTTGGCCAATAAACAAGATTTTTAACAACGTTATCACATATTAGTATCTAAACCACGATGCCACAATGATGATTACGTATTTTTAAGTAAATACGACCCATATTTTATCAATTACATTCAATTATTTCTAACGTCTCATAGATTTTATTTAATAACGAGATTCTGCATTAGTATAAATTAGTTATTAAATATTAACATCGATGAATATCAATAAAATTGAAGACATACTACCCTACTGATCTTAAATAAAATAATTGTCATGCTGCAACCGTATTTTGTAACAATTATTTCTAAAATTATATCGAATGAAAACTAATTTCTCCGGCAATAATAAACACGTTTTTTACATCATGTTTACAATAACCTAATTGATGTATCATATTTGTGGTAACTATTTAAAACCTACTAATATTATACTTATAAATATATTATTTAAATACTGCATTTTCGTGAAAATTCTAAAAATATATAATTATTTACTATCTTTAATTAATAATTTCATTAAATCTATGAGATTTTCTCATTTATAATATGTGCTGTTTATTTCATCAATTTATGGAAGTCATTGTCATTTATTCTAGAACAGAATTTCCATATTCATTCGGGAAAAATTCTGGAATTTTCGCTGTATCGATTTTACTGGAAGGTTACTAAATGCAGATGATTTTAGAGACTTTAGGTAGTTGGTAACATAGGTTGGTACTACTACTATACAAGTTTTTTTTTTGTATTTTTGTTTTGCGTTGATTCAAAAAAGCCGGAAAGCCGTTAATTGTAGTATTGTAAATTTTGAACTTTCCTTTGTGATTGTTTACTTGTTCCCTTGGAAATAATGGCGGGTGTATCGGTAAAGAATAAATCAGCAATTACTCTGAAAGGATCTGCTGATATTGTCTGTGAATATCTTGGTAAGAGTAAAAATGGCAGTCTTACATATTGTGGTTATGATTCTTATTTGAACATTCTTATTAGATTTTGGCATTAATTCGATTCTATTCCAACGTGGTATCTACCCACCAGAAGACTTTAAACCAGTGGAAAACTATGGTTTGACAATACTGATGTCTCAGGATTCAAAAATAAAAGAGTTCTTAAAAGTCACTTTAGATCAATTAAATGGTTAGTATGTTATGATTCATGTATACTTTACTTTATTAATAAATAATTATTAATTTAGGTTGGTTGGTTGATCGTGCTGTTAAGAAAATAGCATTGGTCATTTCCAATGTAAGAACTTTGGATGTGATGGAGAGATGGGATTTTAATGTAGAATATGAGGGAGATACTACTGATGGTGCTCAAACATCTGAGAAACCTTTAAAGCAAATCAAGAATGAAATTCGCGATGTTTTGAAACAGATTGCATCATCTGTGGCTTATCTACCATTGCTGGACTGTTTGTGTAGTTTTGATATTCAAATCTATACCAATGATAATGTTAAATTACCAACTGAATGGGCAGACACAGAACCTGCTCACATAAAGAATGCTCAATGTGTTAAAATGAGGACTTTTAATACGCAAATTCATAAATTGGAAACAATGGTAACTTATAAGAATGAGGAATAGGATAATGATTTTAATCTATATGTATATTTTGTGGCATGCTATTTTAAGTATTAAAAATTATTTAAAAATCAAAGATTTCATTTATTTACACAAAAAGAAACATTAAAAGACTTATGTATAAAAAAAACAATAGTATATAAAACTATTTTATAAAAAGGCACTTGGTGTTACATCAAGTTTGACTTAACTACATATGTAATGAACTTAGTTGGGGTAGAATTTGATGCTTGGGTCTTTAGCCATTTTCAAAAGAGTGTCGCATGGCTTGAAGGCAATGCCATAGGCGTTCTGGTATTCAGTCATTTTAGAAACCAATTTGCTGGCACCGTACTGGTCGACCCAACGGAATGGGCCACCAGTGAATGGTGGGAATCCTAAACCAAACACAGCACCAACGTCTCCTTCTAAAGGATTGGCCAAAATTCCTTCTTCCAAACATAAAACTGCTTCATTGACGAATCTAGATACCATACGCAATTGCTTATCTTCATCGGTAAATGGACCACGAGGTTCCAGGGAATATTTCTTCAAAATGTCCATAGCTTCTGGATTCTCTTCACGACCCTTACCCTTCTTTTCATACATGAAGATACCCTTTCCGGACTTCCTGCCCAAGAAACCAGCTTGAACAATATCCCTCATTACACCGAAATCTCCACCAGCGATACGATCACCAAATACCTAAAAGGATCGATTATATTTAAACCAATGAATGATATAACAAAAATAATATATTACTTTGTTTAAATCAGCAGCAATATGTGAGCCAACATCCAAGCCAACCTCATCAGCCAATGTAGCTGCTCCTACTGGGAAACCAAAAGCTTTGGAACATTTGTCCAATTCCTTCGGTAAAACTCCTTCTTGCAACAGGCGAATAGCCTCGCTCAACATGAATGACAAAATGCGAGTAGTGTAGAATCCGGGACCATCACCGACAGTGATGACAACTTTGCCTTGCTTCAAACCTACTTGAACAGCGGCTGCGGCGGTATCTTTGCTAGTTTTCGGAGTCGTGATGATTTCCAAAAGTTGCATTTTATCGACGGGGGAGAAATAATGCATGCCTAAATACATTTTTAAATGACATATTTTCTTAACAAATTAATTACATTATTCTTACCAACAACTTTTTCTGGTCTGCTTGAAGCGGCAGCAATCTTCGTAATCGGAATGGCACTCGTGTTTGTAGCGAAAATACAATGGGGTTTAACGACAGCTTCGACTTCCTTGATAACTTTATGTTTGATGTTAATATCTTCGAAAACAGCTTCAATGACCATATCTGCATTCTTGAATTTGTTGTAATCTAAGGTCGCATCCAAATCAGCCAAATATTTATCTCTTTGCAAGCTAGAAGATTCACAGAATTACAATTAAAACACAACATATTTATAATAATTCATACGAGCTCATGCGTTTCCTTTTAACGGCTCCATTTAAGCCATTTTGAATTTGACCTACACCTCTGAATAAACCATTTTGATTAGTGTCCTTGAGGATAACGTTATAGCCTTTATCGAGGGTGACTTGAGCAATACCAGCTCCCATGAGACCTGCGCCAAGTACTGCTACAGTATTTACTTTTGTTTCTGGAGTTCCAAATCTGTTTTTCTTGCATTCAGTTTGACCTCTGAATAATCCAATTAGACCTTTCGATTGAGGGGTCATAGCTAAATCACCAAACGCCTTGGCTTCAGCTTCCAAACCTGCCTTCATACCTTTATCGACACCTGTACGAACGACTTCCAAAATCTACAAGTATGTGAGAATTAGATTTAATTTTATTCTTATAATGAATAGCATACCCTTAATGGAGCAGGATATAAACCACCAGTCATTTTCATAACTTGTTCTTTAGCCTTTCCAAAGATTTTGTCTTTGACAAAGTCATATTGGAGAGCAAAATTTAAAATCTTATCAGTCATACTCTTATTTTCCCTATTAATCTTGATCTTTCCACTGGCAATATCTCTAGCAATGCCAATAGATACAGTTTCAAGGTACTTCATAGTGTTATTTTCTGGAATATCTAATCCAGGTCCCAAAGGCTCAACAACCATATCCACAATACCCATTTTCTTAGCTCTATCAGCTTTAATAGTTTTACCAGTCAGCTTCATATCTAAGCAATTTGGCAATGCAGTCAGTTTTCTCAATCTTTGGGTGCCTCCAGCACCAGGCAATAATCCAAGCATAACTTCAGGTAATCCTAATCCAGTTTTCTTATCCTTAACTGCAATTCTGTAGTGACAAGCCAAAGCGACTTCTAAACCTCCACCTAAACAGGATCCCTGGATGGCAGCAACAATTGGTTTCTTACTAGCCTCAACGGCATCCAACATAAGTTGGCCCTCGCGAGACATTTTGGTACCATCTTCTGCTGTTTTGAATGTTTCCAGCATGCCAATATCTGCACCAGCAATGAAACATCCTGGCTTTGCAGATATGATCACTGCAGCTTGGATCTGCGGATTTGTCTCTACTTCACGAATCAATGAAGAGAATTCAGCTGATACTTCATGTCCTAAAGAGTTGACCTAAGAAAATGTTATGATATTAAATATAAATATATATGATGTACTTTTAATACCTTTGAATTAGGTGAATCCAGAACTATAACGCCCACATTATCAACAATTTTTAATGATGTGTGCTTATTTTTTTGTGTAGCCATCATACGTAATTGTCCTATAAAATAAAACTGTAAGTTAATATCTCTGATATTTTTTATATTGCAATAAATACCACAGCCACAAGGTTTGTTGATAGATAGGAAAAATGTTTAAAGGAATATATAAAGGAGTTTCAGGATCTAAAAATAAATGCAGAGTAACTGTTATTGGTTAGCTAAATGCAAATACTATATAATTAATTGGAGATTTTTTTGTTTGTTTATTTGAACTTCAATCATGTTTTGAATAATTTGATTATTTCAACAATTTTAATAGCTTACATTACAGTTTGTTAGAAACATTATTTTTTCTAATAATAAATGTAAATAATTTTTTATCTATATTAGAAACTGTACTTTAGACAGTAAAAAAAATGAGTTCTGATTGGATAAACATATTACATATTAATAATAATATTAATAATCAGTTATACAAGAATTAATAGTACTTTTAACAAACAAAAAAAGGATCAAGTGCAAAGTACAATTTTGTTATTAGTCTTACATGACAAATAAGAAAAATAATTGTAAATACCTGTATGATGAGTTAATTTTATATTATTCTGGCAGACTCTGTTTAGAGCCCCAAATAGCCTTAAGGAGGACATCTCTAAAATATGTTGCTTTTACTTTTCCACCCCAACTTGATATGCCGACCTTCCAATCCCAATTCCTCGCAATGATCCAATGCAAACCTATTTTTTAGATTGTAGTATAAAAAAGTTGGACTTTGGAACTTTGGTTTCTGTATTATTAAACACGGTCCAAAAACCATAAATGATGACGAGGTTTGACAAACAGTGCTGCCATTAAATTTATTTTACTTAATTTAACAAATAAAGTTATAGTTAAAGAGGTTTAAAGAAATATATAAAATTTTGAATCTAGGGGATTTAGTACCATCAAATATTAAGGGTGTAGACATTTTACTACCCTTAAATTTTTTATCACAATTTTGTATTAAAACTATATATAAAGCAATTACTATTATTTATATTCATAAAAATGTAAAAATGAACAGATAATTAAGCCAAATTATAAATGAATATCATTAATAACTTGTAGCTAACTTCATGTATGTACTTTTTGATAATATATTTTCGATTTAGGTTATATTTATTTGACAATTGAAAACATCCAAACTGATCCAAACACAAACAAATTTGTTCAGCCAAGTGCTAATATACATTACTCCTAATGAAGATGACACAAGAGGATAAAATAGCATATCATCTAGACACAAATAATGCTTTGGACAGGTAATAAATCATATTATTTACATTACTTTTTAACTCAATATTTGATTTAGGGTGACTGAATTAGTACATACCAGATTAGTTGATTGTGGTTGGAGAGATCAGGTGAGATTGGCCTGTAGGAAGGCTATCTCAGATAGTGGAGATCGAATACCTAGTGTTGATGAGTTGATCAACAATATCACTGGAAATGCAAGAGGGATGGTACCAGACTCAGTGAAAAAAGAGCTCCTTCATGAATTAGAGAAAATTTTAGTCAATGTTGACAAAGTTGCTCATTGATTTGAACAAGTATTTTTTATTTAACATATATTTAAAAATCATTTATAGTTCATCTTTGTGTAATGTGTTTGTTCCACATTGGCATACTTGTGCTTCAGGTGGTTGTTCAACAATGTCCATGCCTTCAATTATATTGACTGAGCTTACAAGAAGTTTGCTATACTCATTGAAGAGATGTGCATGGTAACAATATATATCTTTAGGTAATAAATTTTCATTTGAATAATGTCTAGCATTATTTGCAATAATCCTAGCTTCCTCATCATTCTGCATAGCCCACTTTAATTTATCTAATAAATCAGATAAATCTTTTTCAACAGGAATGTAATGAACATTTGGTTTTAAATCATTGTAAAAATGTTCATAATATTTAGACTTTTGCTTAAGGACCAATGATCCTCCAGCTAATAAATAGGGAAACCTGTAAGCTGCCACTGTTCCGTCTATGCTAACCTGGTATTTGTACTGAAAATTAAATAAAATATTAATTAATAATTATTGCTAAACATTTCGAATGCCTACATCAAAGAATTTATAAAAAGAAATGTGTTCAGATTTGGGTCCATATTTCGCTTCTTGATCTCTATAGAAAAAGAAATTTGTTAGAGAAGCATTGAACATATCAGGATTATCTTTAGCAATCTCTATAAGCTTAAGTCTAGCTGCATTTGAGTCACGACCTCTCCAAAATGCTACTGGCTCCTTTTCATCCCACGATCGATCGTTATTACCTTGAACTGAAAGCATGTCCAGCATAACTCTATAAACAAAAATAATTAGAAAAACCTATTAAAAAAAATATTTTAAAATAGAACCTTCCCATATTTTCCAATGTAGATTCAGTTATATCATAGGTTGGCATAATTATATCAAAAGAATCTGTGCTTCCACACCATGACATAATGGGGTATTTTTCAGATATATCATTCACTAAAGGCCAATCTCCAAGATTAACAAAGAATTCCATGTTTGGCAAAAATAGCTTTCTGGTCATTGATAATAAAATATTATCCATGAACATTTTGAAACCTACATACTTTCCATAACATGTTCTATATACTTTGTTTTCAAATATCACATAATGACATAAACTTATGGACTGTGGTTTATTATATTTATCAATTATCTTTTTTCTTAACTTATCAAAATCAATTGTTTTAAACTGACTTAAATCCCTTGATATTTGTTTTGGTAATTTTGCACATTTCATATTATCCAACCATTCATTAACATTCCATTTCGGGCAAATGCACTGTTCAGGATGAACAATATTATCTATTATGTATGGAGATTTAGCTAAATGTATATCCTTGTATTTCACATTTATTTCCATATAACTGCAGCTATCGTATAGTTTGTATCTCATAATGTAAGATCCATCTTTCCTATTCAAGATATTTGACCAAACTCTGCATGGTCTCTTCTTATCTAAACTTAACCCATTCACTTTAAATGAAATGTTATCATTTAATTTAGACCTGCAATTGACAATATTGAAAAACTAGGAATAAACTGAATTTACTCACTCACAAATTTGTCTGTAAAAAGAAGTATCTGGCTGGTAAAACTAAATTTTGGGGCTCCAAACCTGGGCCCCAAATCTTAACATCACTTAAATCAACATCACTTTGGTATGTACTTTGTAAAATGGAGATTATTATTAATAAAGCATACATTTCTTTGGTTTAATGTATCATGTATAATTCAAATAAAACACAATGAGTTTGTAGATATTGTATTGTTCATAGTTAAATGGAAAGTATCTATAATTTGGTTGTTTCAAGCACCATCTAGAGGTGGAATGATGTGTATTAAAAGAATAAGGAGTTGCATATTCTAATTAGATTAAAAAAACTTACCGGTCATAGTAAATCTTGACATACCCAAAATAAAAATGAAATAATGTTAAAAGATTTCATCACTATTTTTCATTAAAAGGTTAACCATAAAGAAAAATAAAGAAACTAATAATAATTATAATAAAATATATCATAGATATTTTATTTTTCAGATAAAATGTTCATTTTGGACAATAAATAACAACGGGTATAATTAAAAGATTTTCTTTAGATAATTAAAATTCAATTTAAAGACCACCGCCACTCCTTTCAACGCTAATTTTCTTCTTCAGCATTTCCTTTTCATGCTTCTCTTCCTCCAGTTCAGCCATTCTTGCGAATCTCGAATATGCTACATGACCTGACTTGATAGCCGACATCATCTGCAAAAATTAAAATAACTATTAGAATACATTCAGCAAATTTTATAAACAATGTTATAATTAATTAAAGTGCAAATAAAATCATAGTTTTAAACGCAAAAATAAGCCTATTAAAGTTACTTAATTTATAGACAGGAAATATTTTAGAAATGTTATTAAATTATTTTTTTTGATGCTAGCTCATCACTTTCAAAGTTTAAAACAATATTTAATATTAATAATATTAAAGTGCGATTGAAACCATGCATTTTTTTATATCAAGCTAATACAAGCTTATTTAATAAGGTCGTGGCATCATCATTAAGGGACAAGCACAACAAATATAGTGCATTATGCTTAAAAGAGTCAATGCAGACCTGTAGGTATTCATCAAGTTCAACTTGTCCATTCATATTTGAATCAATTTCTTTTAATATTTCATGTAATTCCTCACCGGGAACTTCTTTCTCACCGTGCAACTGGAAAGAAAAGAAAAATCTGTAATGCACGTTCGAGATTGCTTACCTGTAAATAATCTGATAAATCTAATTGGCCATTGTAAGTGGTATCTATGTCATTGAGGAGAAGGTGAACATCGTTATCGTTCAATCGAATGCCTAGATGCTAAATAATTTCCAAAATTCTTGATTATTGCGTCTCCTGTATTAATAAACAAATAAACAAAAAAACAGATTACAATCGATTACCTTGAGACTTCTACGAATGTCATTGATAGAGACGTATCCCTTACGATCGGTGTCTATAATTTGGAAGCGTTTGATGTATGTCTGAATCTCATCTTTGCTCAAATTGATCGGAATCTTATCTCTGCTGGCGCGGTTGACGTTCTGTCCCATTTCATACTGCAAAAATTCAGTGGCATCTTTGTGTTGCTTCTTCTTCTCCTCCTCGGACCAATTCAGTTCTTCAGCCATCACGTTGATTATATCTGGAAGTGCCTCCTGAGCAGCTTGAACATTAAGGAACGCCAGACGCAGACGTCTTGCAATCATATCAGTTGCGGTCATCGCGTATTCCCGAACTCCGTATCGCACCTCTGCATCGATGTATGGAAATTCTGGATGCACTTTGTTACCAATAATTGGCCATCTTTTACCTTTAAATCAATTTATTTAAAGTTTTTCTGTCGAATTTTCAGATATTATTAATTACCCGTTATAGTTGCTAATTTGGCTACAGCAAAGGCCCTGTCGCCGTAAGAATTTGCTAAATGTTGAGCAACTTCGCAGTCAAGACCGAAATCTTGTACTAAACGAATGTACATTGTTGGAGTCCAGCCGTGAGCTCCCTCCATCAATAAGCCATCGGTTTGGCTCAATTCGAATTTAGGTTGCAAACTGCAAGCTGAAAGTTTTAGCCGTTAAAAAATGTTTAAGAATTAGTTCATTGATGGATGTACCTTCAATTGCAGCGTCTATAGTTTCTTCAGCCATGGATCTATACGTTGTCCATTTTCCTCCAGCTATAGTGATTAATTTAGAATCACTCACATGCACAATATGATTTCTAGCTAAAGATTGTGTATCCGGTTTGTTTGGATCAGAAACTAAAGGTCTGATTCCGCTCCAAGCTGATAATACGTCACCACGGCGTACTGTAAACAAGAAAACCTTGTAAAAAAATAATTATTAAAATTCGTTTGAAATATACCTTCAACGTCAGGATTGAGATAGTTTTTCACTTCTTCTAAGATAAACATAATTTCGTCTTCGGTTGGTTTGGGATTGTGCGTCACCTGGCATGGAAGATCAGTTGTACCTGCAATAGTTTGCTTCTGCCACGGTAAGAAGAAAATTACTCTTCCATCGCTGGTGGATGGATCTAAAAGTCCCATTTGTTCTGGACTGTAATACCCTAAATTTCGCGTCAATAAATAATTATCTATTTGATTTTCAGCAATACTAATTATACCTGGCAGAACTATGTGTACTCCACTACTTGGAGCGCATATTTCTTTAATTTTGATATTATCCATTTTCCTAATAGTATCTGTGAAAGGTCCCGTAGCATTTATGACGCATTTAGCAGGTATCTTCCACTCTTTTTGCGACAGCTCATCTTTAACATGCACTCCGCAAATTATTTCTTTTCCGTCATTGGTCGGTTCTTTGATTAACCCTGTTACTTTTACATGGTTGACCACGGTCGCTCCGTGTCTGGTTGCAGTTAAGGCTATGGCCAAATTCATCCTAGCATCGTCCTGTTGACCTGCAAAGCGAGTTCCCGTTCTATAAATTATTCAAAACTCAATTTCCATGGTTTATTACCATCGTAGTACACAATGGCACCGCATAATTTATCTCCGCGCAGCATGGGGAACAACTCCAGGGCGTTCTTCTTGGATAATAGATAGGAGCCTCCAATGTTTTTCGTACCAGCTACTAAATCGTACATCTTGATACCGAACCAGTAATAAGGAACCTGCCACCATTGATACACTGGCAACATTATTGGCAGTGGATGCGCCAGATGCGGAGCGGAATGGAGCATCGTAGCCCTTTCGTGTAATGCTTCCTTTACCATTTTGTACTGGTCATAATCCAACTGCATGATAGCTTTTTGCAGATAGCGAACACCACCGTGGATAAGCTTCGTACTTCTGCTCGAAGTCCCGCTTGCAAAGTCATCGGCTTCTATAAGTGCAGTCTTAAGGCCTCTAGTAACAGCATCTAAGGCACAACCGGCTCCAGTGGCACCGCCACCGATGATCAATACGTCGAAAGATTCCGTCTGAAGAGATTTGATTTGTTCCTCGCGTTTAGGCAACGGTCGTTTGTTTCTCTTTTGGTTTTGGTGCGCTTTAACACTCCACTAAATAAAGTCATATAATATTCACCTTCATATCTCGTTAATATATCTCACCCTATCGATGTCGACGTCATTGTTTAATAATAAATAAGTTGCAAGTCCGGCGCCCACAGCTCCGGCTACTCCACTAATAACTATTTTCTTCAGTTTCGATGCCATTTCAGCTACTTAAATGTCCTAAAAATAAACAAAAAAAAACGTTGTCGATCACATTTATACACTGAGTATGTAATTTGTAGAGAAGTACTTTTCATTGAAACGCACAAATTTCGAAACTAATTGAAATTATCATGTAGCCGGTTTATTATTGAAAATGCAATAATCGATGATGCGTTTCGCATGTATTTCCCAACTTGTAATCAGTCGAGTATAATTTTTATTATCGTATGTCTAGTGTGAACATTACGTGCGTGATGATGGAACATCGAGATAATATACCAAATTATGATTAGTACACCATTAATTGATTCTGTTTTGTTTGCTTGAAATAATTGTGCAACGTGCTCTTGCATAACCAATCCTCCAAACTAGTTCACAGTGCGCCAAAGAATTAACAATTATTCTTTTGGAGTAGGTCATACATTCAACTTTCATTTCTTAAAAAAAAACATATATATCTCACATTATATAATAATCATTATAATATATAAATCGCTTTATTTTTTAACATATTAATAACAGATAATACAAGTCATAGGTTTTTTTTTTGGTTATTCACGAAGTTTCGAGGTGAATCATCAGACTCAAAATTGATTAAACCAAAAGTAAATACCTATTAGATAAAAATATTTTTTTTTACGAAATTAATTTCCGCCAATGTATATGACGATTTACTTTTTTTAAGTTTTACGTATAGCAATGTTCATGATTTAATCTTGTGTATTTCTTAATCGGAGATTTAATTCGGGCTCTGGGGTTATCAGATGGTTTGAAATATTCCGGTTCTGGCATTAAATTCATCAATTGTACGGTGGAATTCTATTTCAGAAACATGTGAATATCCAAATAAAAACGCGGTTGGAGTTTGAACGCACGCACGGAACATCCAATATCACGCTGCATAATTTGCACAATTTCGTGTTTGCAAATTTCATAATCTAAATATATGCTCAGTATATAGTTTTTATTTTGAAATTTTATTAGTTGTTCTTATATTACTTTCATCTGCATTAAGTATTTTGAGATTGTTGCAGTTTTAAGACTTGTTATTCCATTTTTTTAACAAAGTGATAGAAATCTTTGGGAAAACATAGACTATTGGTTCACATGGACTCTTAATACTTGAAATAATATTTATCTTTATAACATTACTATTATGTAATAACTATGCACAAGTCGATGTAATTTATTTGCAATCATCAACAAATTGAAAGTTAACACATATATCTTCAAACTAAAAATATGAAAATCTGTTTCAGTAAACATTAAGCTAGTATACATTTCACAAAATATGCACTACATTAAAAATTCTCGATTCTGTATAAATATAAACATAATTTAATAAAATATTAAAGTTTGAAGTAATAATATTTGCACATGTTTGTTTTACCTATGGATTTGGCGGATATGATAACATCTAAGCTCAACTACAAATAGTAAGATTAATTTTATCATCTATTGCGTAAAAAATATATAAAAAGCATCATTCGTTGAAACACTAAATTATAAACAATTTGGATTATTTCCTATGAACTTTTCGTTCCATTTTGCAAGGCAAGATTAATGGAATTCGAATAATCCATCGTATTATTTGATTCAATCTAGGTGATAATATCCGACGAGTTATAAAACAAAAATAATGGAATCTACATTCCACACATTCAAGGTAATACAAATTAAATATTTTTACCTGTGCATGCGTTTTGTATATAGAATAATTGTTTAAGAAAACTATTAATTAATGTAACTGTAATTTTTACTTATTCATATTTGAAACAATTAAAAGAACGAACTTACTCAATCCTTTACATTCCAATAAATATGGAATATTAAGGTAATAGTAGAATTAAGTAGAGATAGACGCGATATATTAGATGCTATTATTGAAATATTCAAACCGAAGAATAAAGTTATATAGAAGTTCTATTGTATATAATGACGACTTAATACTGAATCAATTTATTTTGCGTAAATTGAGAAATGTTAATATAATAGTTAATACTATTAATCAAGTTATTAGATATTTCCTAGACGTTCAAAAAAATATAACATATAGTATAGGATAGAAAAGAATTTATTCTAAGAACAATATAATACGTTAAAACATAGAAAAAATAAGCCTTATTTATACAAAGTTATTAACCGCGATACAACATAAGTTCACGTCATTGTATGTGGTTTTAATCAAATGTTTTTTATTTGTGTATTAAAATTGTATAATACAAGCTATGTAGTCAGTGTACTTCAATTAGTTAGTATTGCAATATTTTGTTTTCAATATCAGCGGAAATTTTCGATTGAAATGCTATTAATGTAAATTAAGAAAAGCAATCTAAAGTATTTCATAACTAGGATAAACAAGAAATGGAAAAGTGTTTACTAATTACTTAATAAATTATTTAATGCGTATATTTATTAAATGAAACGTAAAAATCAAATATAAATGAAGACAGTTGCTGAATAGCGATCAATACATTTAACAAGGGCAATAGGTCACAAATTGTGCTTTTTTCATCCCATGATAAATTTTAAATTACTTTTTTTTTAATGGAATTGGAAATATTAATTACGTTTGGGTCTATTTGAAATGCAGAATACTTGAACACGTTTAATTGTTCATTATTCTATTAATATTGAAAATGTCCATAGTTGTTCTTCATTTTTAAGTATTATTGTAATAACTTTTAATATCTAATTATTTTAATATAGTTATGAATTATTTCAAAAGTAATAAAATTCAGTGTTTATTAGTTCTAAATAAATACAATTATTTATACTTTATATTTTTTAGATGTTATCTTAATGTTTATTATTATTTTAATGACAAATAATTTTCTTATATTTTTCGATTACATTTATAAATATACTTATTCAGCTATAAAAATCATTCAGTTAGTTGATAATTTTTGTAACAAGATTGAGAAACGATGATCTAAAGAATCATAATTTAAGGATAAGTATATAAAGTGGAACCTCGTTTCTATAGTGCTCGTACAGTTTTTCCCATATAAACTAATGTATATATGGGAATAATGCGTTCCATGTCGGAAAGAAGGATAACCTGATAGTTCAGCCTGAGAATTTTTTGAAAATTCTGCACACCGAAAAAGTTTGGGAACCTCTGTTTTATTCTATATTATTATTATTTATTTAATTTATGTTGTTTTTGTTCTAAAATATTGGAAATGTTTGAACCACAATTAATTAGAAAAGAATTACAAATTCAAACATGTGTATAAAAAAGATATACTAATTACAATTGTTTCAAGGTTCGTTGCTAAAAAACAATATGAGGGACACACAAAGTTGAGCTAACTATTACATTGATGCTATATTTTGTATTTCAATGTCAATGAATAAAAAGACTGTTGCGTTACGCTAATCGATAAATGTTGTGTTTTTCTTAGCAGTTTAAATATCTTTGAAGTATGTGAGTAGGAAAGAAAAGTGGTCTCGGAAAACGATGCTTGAAAAATTAAAAAATAGAAGTACTTGCTATTTTCATTTCCGCACTTTAATTTATTATTTTCAATTCCGAGTGGCGTTGGAAGTAGTCGGAGAGGACGATGTAAGGGCATCCGTGTGAAAAGGGCGCACAGGCTTGACCTAAATAGGTTCCTTCTTTCCTAGACTACTCTTAATTGCAACGAAGACGTAACAATTCGTAGATGATATTAGATGTTGATGATGATCAGCGAAAGAGGCGGTTGCAGTGCGCACGTGTAGTAATGATTTTTACCTGTGGATTTGGTTTTTCCATTTACCAGGATGAGGAACCACAGAACACACACACGCTCTCTCTCATCGACTACATAAACAGAAATGAAAACGAGATAGATGCGAGGCTACGCGACCACGCGGAAACCTACTGAAAGATTCGCGTCGCGCTTCCAACTATATATATATGTGCGTACATATATATGTATATTGATCCGACGGAAGCGTCGGGCCTCTACTGTGTGGGAGCGAGGAGCGTTCGCTGCGAACCCAAATCGTAGGACTTACCTTGAAATAGTTGCTGCATGTGACAATAGATTCGAAGCTTCGACCTAGGTTGTTTTTCAACGAGCATTTTCTTTGGCCAAAACAGTAGAGGAATTTTGCTGGGCACTGCTCCAAGTAGATTCCCCACGTTGAACAATTATAGGTGCTCGCACGTATCATGTGTGCATCGTAATTAATCACAACGCTAATAATTGCGTTTGCAATTTACTGTTCTGCATAGGTTTATTGTTTTTCTACGTAAATTACAGTTATATAACGAAATCCGATGGATCTGCATCTATTTACAAATACTGGTTATTTTCGACGCCGAACCACGCCAATTTTTTATCTCGAAAATAAACAAAAGACCGCATTCATTTATTGCGGTCTCATTTCGCTTTTACAACTAACTAAATTACTTTATTTACAATCATCCTAATGCACACATTGCATAAAGTCATAATGAACTTGTAGAGCATAACATAACACTTTTTATCAAACTACTTCATTCAATGAGTAATTAAAACGATATGATAAATGAACGGTACTTATTAATTGGACTAAAACTAATAATAGTCGATATTATAACTTGCAACACATATACGAATTAATGTAATCATATCCAAGGTCTTTAAAAATGAAACGTTTAGGCAATTGTGATTTATGTTAGTTGTGTTAACAGTCTTGATACTACAAAAGATTAAGCTTATTTCAGGTTGTATAAAAGTAATTGAACAGTAAACATTTCTCCTACATAATATGTATATTGAGTAAATGAATATCTGTTGGTATGGATAATTATATCCAAGGTCTTTGAAAAACGAGAACTTACTCAATTACAAATGTTCTTTAGTTTTGAAATATCCTATTAATAAACTATGATCATTCAAGCTTATGCAAAAAAAATCTGAAGATGTTTGTTCAATTGTATAATTATAGAATTGTTTATTTATCAAAAATGAAATAACTACTTCTCTATTTAATATAAACAAAAATATACTAATTATGCGATCCCAAGTAATCTTTATTCGCCACTGAATATAATAATATTTATAGCATTTTTAATGTGTTTTTCATATGTTTCAGACAACATCAAAAGATACTGCATTAACATATTATATAAAATATTCTTCAACTTCGGTTATATAAAAGTTTTTCTTTACCATACGTTTCTTGATCATTAACTATTTTTTAAATTAATTTAGATAGCGGATAGACCTAACATCAGTAGTGTTTGCATAGTTTTTTGGTTATAATTTGATTCCTAAATACGTATTTATTTTTATTTATTTATGTATTACTGGTGTTATAAACATTATTATTTTTACATTTAGAGCCATAAAGACATCCAAATTTGATATATTTAACATATTTATTGGCCACACTTATGACCAAACGGCGTATATTTATATGAATAACATTGTTTTTATGTTATAATGAAAAATAATAATTTTGAATTATAAATAAATAGATTAACTATTATTTTTGTCGATAAAAGCCAATTAGATATGATTATATGTATTAATTACACTTTCGAAATTGGGGTTTTCCAACAACGTATGAAACGTACAACTATTGGTGAAAATATTTTAATAACAAGTTTCATCAATTTAAAAAAAACAATAATTTGTTTATACCTCTTGATTAGATCATTGACAATGTGGGGTTTTACGTTATATTAAATTTTAAGTAGTAAATATTGACAACTACATAAATATGTTTTAAGTCAAGTGTACTATATTTTTCATGTATTTTTTTAATTTAAAATTACTTAATACAAAAAACATAAATACATTATGCTTATACCAGTGGTTTCCAAACTTGATGTTACTGCGCCTTCCTCAAAAATATATAATCATTTGGCGCCCTCCCTGCCTATCCATTTCATAAAATAGATAAAAGTTTAGCAGTCATTTGGAAAATTGCTAACTGTAACTAATATTCGCGGCTCCCCTTAGACTAATTCGCGCCTTCCTAGGAAGATGCGCTTCACAGTTTAGAAAACGCTAGCTTACACTATGGGTGGTATAGAGCAGTGCTCCCCAACCTTTGTATCGCCGCAAACCGGTCAACGTGATTTAACATTTTAACTCATTATAACGCAACGAAACTGAAACCGTTTTATCCACGGACCGGTACTATTTGATCCACGGACCCGTACCGGTCCGCGGACCAGGGATCACTGGTATAGAGCGTGTCGAAGTATCGGAAGTATAAGTATTAAAAAATTGTTTTTATTTATGTTTTATGAATGAAATATGTATATTCTAAAATGACCATTACATTAACATTATTATTTTGTAGTTAAGTACTGTAAAAACTTTTATTTTTTAAACACATGAGTGAAATGACTAATACTTTAATATTTGTTCTTATATCAAATTCCTTCGATTGTTTCTTAGTGCTCTCAAGAAACAATCCAAGAAATCAAATCCTTTTGGAACAAAAAATAAATATATAAAACAGTTTATTTTCTTGAACTTTGATATATTTTTTCGAAAACAATCCCGTAATACTAGTAGCTCTACCATGTATTAAATTCATACATTTCTATGACAAAAATTCTATTTGGAACAATTGATACTAGAGGTCCTTGCAGGTAGTTTCTTGAATCCTCTCTTCGTGTATTACTCGGAAGTCACCCTCTAAACACAGGACGTGACGTCATATGCGCCTTATACCTGCTAGCACATATAAGGTAGTTAAAGAACCGTTCATAGGAATTTTACAAAATCAGAATTTAATGTTTGCTAAATTATATTAAAACAAACACCGAACATGTCCATACGGAATTTTTAGAAACAATATTTTAATGAACTCCTTCAATGTGCTTATATTGTACTTAAATAGTAATGGAACCTAGTCTTTAAATAAATATTATATATGTTTTTAGTTAAGAAAGACCTATGGTCAATAGCTTTTTCCAGGATTTAAACTTTTTTATTTTATTATTATTGTTATGAATGAAAATTTTTATTTTTTTTTACTATTCCAATGAATAATAAACAAAATTTCATGTATGACAACATACAAAGGGAAATAATTGTTATTTTTGCAATTTAAAATTTGATATTTGCGTGTATGTTAAAGTGAAATATATGTTTAAATTCCATCCTGCAAATATTTATTACATTTTCAAATTTAAAGTTTTACGATAATTTGTATATTCAGTTCAATAAATAACACTTGTTATGCAGATGTTATTACTTTACCTATTTTCAATTTTACTCCTTGAACGAATAACCTTCCAAGCAGGTATTGACATATTTTGTTAGAAGTAAATAAGGAAAGGAAATATTAATTACTTAGATAATTTAACTAAAAAGTATGAAGAAATATATTTATTGAAAGAAGAAAAGAACAATCTGAGGTTCAATAATTTTAATTTTATATCTTAACATTATATCAAATATATTAGACCTATAATAAACTTCCTACTTAAATTTAAATTATCACTATAATGCTTGTAATGTATTTAAAACCATTGTAATGTTAAAAATTCAGTTTAATACTTTTTCAATGCATTACGTATCAGTGCTAAACGTTGCTTATGAGACTCAGTTACCAAACTCTTTCGCTTATATGGTCTCAACTCATCTGTTCCAAGACCAGGAGCCCACATGTTAAAGTTACGATCTGAAAAACAAGTAAGAAAATTATAAATAATGCAAACACTGAATATAATTGATATCTTACTTATAAATTGTTGAACATCTTTCACTTCAATATTATTCACATGTCTATGTTTTGCTATCATGCTGGCACCATTCAAAACACGATCAACAAAGTCATCAACATAACTCAACAATATCTCTTCAACTTCATCTTCCATATATATATTTGGGTCTATGTCTCTCACTAAATCCGACATCCTTGTCTTGGACAGTACTTGCTAAAAATTCAATTGAATTGAGTTAAATCTATTCAATTGTTATGTTGAAATTGACTTACCTGCAATGGTTCTGATGGTGTGGCTGCATTTGATGCTGTGGAATTATGGACAACCTTCTGTGAATTTGCAGCTTGAACAGGTACACTTTGGACACCCATTGCTCCAGAAATAGGTAGAGAATCCATCATAACACCAGTTTTGATCTCTCCACTCTTATTAACAACAGTTGGTGGGTTTGATAAGGCAGTTGCTATTGGTAATCCATTATTAGCATTAACGTTAGTCATTATTGCATGCGACAAAGGTACAGTGTGATTTATCACTATGTTTTGAGGCTGAATTATGTTGTTTGTTAGGTTAGGTATTGACATCTAAAATTACATTAATTTTTGTTAGAACACAGTGAAGGATATGAAGGAGAATTGTGCTTACCTTGGTGTTCCTTGTTTGTATAAACTAAAACTGAACTTTAAGAGACTAAAATGAAAATGTAAATAAACGAAAATTTATGTTGTGTCAAGAACATCGAGGTTAAGTTTATTCTACTTTTTAGTCATGCGCACTATGACTCAGGGATACCAACGTAGCTTCACAACATATTTTTAGAATATACAGGGTGAAACAGAAAATTAGCAAATTTACTTTACTCTCAATAATTTTTATTAATAAATGGTAGAGGCTCTTCTTAGATGGAAGAAACAGGAGGAATAAAAACAAATTATTAATTGAAAATAAATTAATATTTTTTGGAAAAAAAGTGAACTTTATCTTTTATTTTTATTAAAATAATAAAATTTATTACAACAAATTACAAAATTTAAAAAAATTAATACAAAAGTCCTATTTTCATTATTATTGTATGGAAAATATTTAGTATTATTTTTTTGTTACAAATTACGTACGAATAATAAAAACTATGCATTATTAATTAAAAACTTTTAAATTTATTTCAATAGAAAGGACAACAATAGATATTTTTTAAATTCTGGTTAAATATACAATATTTTCTTTTTTTAAGTGTTTCAATAACATGGTTAACTAAATAAAGAAGAAAAATCAAACAAAGATCACCTCCATTAATTTAGTATGGAAATTATCCGTTAACAACAAAAAAGTATGTATAATTTTAGATTCCTTAAAGAATTTAATTCTTCATTGTACCATATATGTATTAGTTCCTGAATAGTTAAGTGTAATTAGTAACAATTTGTTTCAATAACATCACAAATATGTGTCATTAGATGCTCACAATTTGTAGGATTGCTCTTATTGTCTATTACAACAAGCCCCCCTCCAAACAATTTCCCATAATTTTGATTTAAAATGATTTAAATGGTCGACCATGGTCGTTCTATGTATAAAAGAGCGACCCCGTATCTCGAGGAAGCAATTATGCAACCACTTTTCCTTGTGTGGTATATATGAACCTAAGCAGTGCTGGAGAAGCGTGCGAAAGCGTGACAGGAATTGTTTTGTTGTCGGTGATAAAGCATTTTTATCCAGCAATTATCTAGAGCTGCGGTTATTTTGTTATGAATTAAAGTGATTTTATTCTGTAAAACTGAAGTGCTAAATTAACACGATGTCTTCGAAAACGACAATACGTGTTGGATCAAGGAAAAGTCAAGTGAGTTTGCTCTACTTTCTAATTATGTAATTGAAATACTTAATTGATAATCTATTTAGCTTGCCCTTATTCAAACCAGACATGTTATTGGACTGCTGGAACAACTTAACAAGGATGTGAAATTTGAAATAGGTATAATTAACTGGATGCATATTTATATTACTTGTTAACACATTCAATTTATTTTAATTTTAGTAACTATGAGCACTTTGGGGGACAAGGTTTTGGATATCCCTTTACCAAAAATTGGGGAGAAATCTTTGTTTACCAAAGAATTGGAAACAGCCCTTTCTAATGGGCTTGTAGACTTTGTTGTTCATTCTTTGAAGGATTTACCAACTACTTTGCCTCAAGGTATGGCAATTGGAGCAGTATTAGAAAGGTAGACTGTGTATATTTGTGGACTTTCTAAAAATCTATATTTGGTTTTGTTACATAGAGAAGATCCAAGGGATGCATTGGTGCTGAGGAAGGATATGAAAGACTTGGATTTAAATACATTACCAGAGGGTAGTGTAATTGGAACTTCTAGTTTGAGGAGAGCAGCACAGTTATCTAGAAAATATCCTCAACTGAAAATTGCCGATATACGAGGAAATTTAAATACGAGACTGAAGAAACTTGATGAATTGGATACTTTCAAAGCTATTATTTTGGCTACAGCTGGATTGCAAAGAATGGGTTGGGACAGCAGGATATCAAAAGTACTTTTTTAAAATATACATTTGTTTACTAAATATAATTATATTTTGTATATTTCAGATTTTAGATACAGATGAGATATTATATGCTGTTGGTCAAGGTGCTTTAGCTGTTGAGTGTAGAGCCAATGATGAAGATACTATTAAATTATTGAAGCCCCTCTATGATGCCCAAACAGCAATTAGAGTGAACACAGAGAGAACATTCTTGAAAACTCTTGGAGGCGGATGTAGTGCCCCAGTTGCTATAAGTACAGATATCATCAATGATCATGGCATACATAATCTTGTAGTAAAGGGGGGCGTATGGTCTTTGGATGGAAAAGTGGAAATGATTGAAAACGATGAAATAAAGCTGGATTTAGCGAAGACTAAACAATGTAGCAGTTGTCCTTATAATAATACACAAAAGGCTGTGTGCACTAAAGATTATTGTCCTAAAACTGACATAGAATGTTTAAATGGTTGCGCATTTAAAAACGATGATTGCGAATATGACAAACCAAGGAAAATGATGAAAATTGACGTAGGAGCGAATAAAGAAGACATTCCTATAGAGCTATTGAAAAATGATCCACATGAACACTGCCCAATTCCTCTACCAGTTGGTGCTGATTTTATGGGGAAATGTCCATTCCTTGAATCGACGACATCTAATGGGAAGCATGTCAAAGTAGATGTCTCTAAACCTGAAGGCCTAGATATTTCCAAATGTCCGTTTTTCCATAACAAAGAAATACCGAAAAACGATGTGACAACCAGCGAAAATGAACAAGCAAATGATACCAATTTATATTGTGGATTGGTACCACATGATGACTTGCCTGAAGCCGTTATGAAAAACGCAGAGAAATTAGGCATACGATTGGCTCAAAAATTAATAAGCGCAGGTGCTTTAGATGTAATGGCCAAATCACAAGCAATAATCAGAAACTCTTGATTTTGTTTAGAGTTACAAAATAAAAATTTTAATCATTCTTAGGGGTGCATGGAAGTGAATGTTATAGTCTTGGTGTTATAAAAATTTATTATTTGTTAATTTCATGACAATTTTCTCTATTTTATATATATATTTATAAATAATAATAATATTTCATGTTCTCATGCCAGGTGATTTCCTAAACATTGTGAAATGCTCTAGATACTGATGAATTGTATCAATTGGAGTATAATTTTCTTGCATCCTTGTTGCCAAATAAGGTGGTGGATTACTCTGCACAGATGATCCCAGAACACCTTGCATAAATTCTCTTATCAACTCCCAGCACATTCCAGGTACAACACAAGGTCTATATTCGACCTCAACTAAAATACCTTTAAAGTTCTGACTCACTGTAACAGTTCCTAATTTCACACAGAAATCACCAATTTCAAAACGAGGCCCTTTTGATTCTGCCTTTGTTTGCTTTTTCGCTTGATAAAAGTAATTCATTTTAAGCATTAATAAGTCAAAGAGGCCATCTGCTGCCAATGGAATTGTTTTTGTACCAGTATCCAGAATAGAAAAACAACTTGCTGGTTGCTCGGAGTTGTGCAATACATGTACAGTCCTTGGTGGCCCTAAGTTTGCCACTGATGAGTATGTTTCACAGTCTACTAAGAAATGTCCTTGTTGAACTGCTCCCAGCGCAGATATTCTTTTTGTTAGTAATTCGATTGTCGCAGGTCCTGTCCTGTTTTCAATAGGAAACTGTTGTAAAATCGTAACACCCATTTCGTACTTTGTTTATTTCAAAACACAACAAAATAACTTTACTTAACCTATATTGAAAATATTATACTGTCAGCCGAAAAGCTAAACAGAGCTGCATGAAACGCTAACAAATTTAGTTTCTACAATTTGCACTGATGGCGCTTCTTAAAGTGGCGCGATTCTTGAATTAATTTATTCAATTTATGAATAACAAAATTTTCTGGATTATATTAATAATAATGGAAAAAAGGTTAATAAAATATTTTTTGTATAAATTTAGCTGAAGTGATTGTTATAGAATTAAAAAACGAATTATGTATAAAAAATGCTTTGTTTAAAAAAATAGCTGTTATATATTTTATTCGTAAATATTTCCATTTTTTTAATTAAACAAATTTATCCATTATATCGCAATTAGCATGGTATTTATTATGTTTCAACTCACAACTAAGGCTACAAAGTAAGCAATTATGTTATTGCCCCATAGATGGTAGTGTTATGTTTTGTATATTTTGAATTGAATTATGGATAATATACTTATATATAGTAACTAATTGTGAAGAAAAATAAATATATTTAAATTGGCCTAGTAAAATTCAATATGTATAGTATTTTAAGAAAGTTTTTTTATTAAATAAAATTCTAGTAATGTGATATTCCCGCCATTCGAAGACAGCTGTCATTTATGTTCTGTCAAAACAGGGAGTCATTTTCAACGACGCTGGGTGCTCGCAATTGATCATTTAAATTTTAAAATCCTTATAGACGCAAATGAACATGTAAGTAAATATTATTTTTTTCTTAAAGTCAGAGTTTTGGAATATGTTTGTTGTTTTAAACAGAATGGAACCAATGAATTTAGGAAGTCCACCATCAAGTCCAGCTTCCCCTAACCCTAATTATTTGCCTGCCTTTTTGATGGGAGATTCTCAACCTGCATCGCCGAGTCCTGCAATTTCGCCAGGTCGCAATAAAACTTCACTATTGAAACATCAATCAGGATACAGCAATACTCCAACCAATCTTCGACAAAAATTGTTTAATCAGTCTGTGAATGATTTTGGGGCACAAACTGGAATGACACCTTACAGCAGTCCAGTTGTAGAGAAAGGAGGCCCTCCAAAGCAAGGTTTATTTGATACAATGGATTCTAAACCAAAGAGTCCCATTTTAAATAGTACAATGCAGAATTTCAATGAACCTCCTATGTTTTCTCCAAATGATAGTATATCAAGAATAGGGAATGATAGTATAAATTGTTCCAATAACTTTAATGACAGCAGATTGATGTTCCAAAATAATCCAACATTTAAGTCTGATCGAGTGGATACTTTATGGGTAACAATTTTTGGATTTACTCCAAGCACATCTAGCATTGTTCTTGCACAGCTGGCAAACTGTGGAAACATTGTTGAAAAGAAATATCCCACACAGGGGAACTGGGTTCATATTAAATTCAGCTCACCCCATGAAGTTGTTAAAGCTTTATTGCTCAATGGAAAGTTGATATCGAATTACATAATGGTTGGCGTTATGCCTTATTATAATAAATTGGAGAATAACAAGGAAAACCACGACAATACTACAATGTACAGCTCGCCAATTCGCGCTAGGTCTCTCAGGACATCTTTTGTTGTACCTCAGAACTCTAGCACAGTTCTTAGTCCACAAAATGTTCCCCAAAAATCGACTGGAATTGTTACAAAAGCAATGGAATATGTTTTTGGATGGTAATTTTGCCAATAATTTGTGTTTCTTTAAATATTTATATATATTTTTTTTAACTATTACAATACTATAATAATAAATTGGTATATTTTATGAAACATTTTTTTTTCAAATAATTAAAACCATTATCTAATCAATCTTTTTTTTGTAAATCGTGTTTAAAAGAGGTGTCATATTATGTTGTTTTAATGTACTATAAAATAAATATAACAATTGTACCTAATCACTAAATATTCCATTCATTAGCCTAATCTATTATTATAAAATGAATTTTGTTTAGAACTGTGATATATGTATATACATACAGAAAACGTTTCGAGAATAAGAATTCATTTAAAAATCATACATGGATATATAAACAGAACAGTCTAATTGCTGTTATTCAGGACCTTCTATTTTACCTAAAGAGAGATCAGTCATTTTTGGGTATTTTGGGTTCTTTTTATCTAATTTATCTTGAGCCCAAAGGATAAGCTTCAAGAGTGTTGACAGCTTAGGCAAAGTACATTCTTGATGTTCCATTTTTAGTATAGCAGCATTCACCTCACTTGCAATCTGTAAATTATTATGTGAAATAATATTTTTTTTAATAAAATAGATAATTGTACATACTTTTTGTTTATGAGTTGGTTGAAGAAGATCTCCAAATGGTGATGTTAAAGGATCTTCAAATGCTAATAAAGCCACAGTCCTTTCTAGCTCAGATAATACTGAAGGATCTTCTTCTCCTGCTTCACTCAGATGAGACTGTGCAAATGCTAAAGCTTCCTCAACTCTGTTGTTTCTTATTAATTCAATTAAATGCAGTTGCTTAAAATAAAGTAGTTTATAAAATAAATATATGTATTCAAACTGGTAGTAGATTATTCTTACTTGCAAATGAAAATACAGGTATCTGTCGTTATCTAATAGCTCTGGATGTAGTTGATTGATGAATGCTGTAGCCTCCTGGACTCTTCCATTAATAATTGCATCTCGGATGCGAATCCTGTCATCCAAGGAGTTTAATTCAACTGTGGGCCCAACCCCAGATTCTTGTTGAAATTTTTCAGCTGCCTCCTTAAAGCCCTCTGCATCAAAAACAACTTAAAATTTTTGTCTCACTAATACTATAATTGGCACTTACCTGTCACCAAGTAATTCATAATCAATTTGTTCATACTAGATCGCCCAATATCCTTGGAATCCAAAAGACGGACCCAATCATCCTTGGAAGGTATGTCAGGTTTAAAATTCATTCTTTATATGTTTTGTATACTACAACAATCTATTTACAGCTGATGACATTCGACATTCATTTACAGCAATGTTATATTGCTGTCAATTGTCAAAACGTTTGTTTGGAGTTTACAGGAAATTGAATGGGAAAAGGCGGGATATATTTACAATTTTAAATATGGTACAAATATAACAATTGAATTAATTGATTAAAAATAATATAACTTATACCATTTCACGAAAAAGTCAACTTTTACTTAGCGTAGAAGAAATTCCGTTTTCTCGAAAGATGGCAGTAGTTTACCAATTATGTGAAGAATTTTATTATGAAATATTGTTATCAAACAAAAACATGCAAATAATAACAGAGTGTAACTAATAATAGACATTCTTGAAGTTATCTTATATATATTACGTAATGAACAAATTTAAATGTCATTTTGAATATATGTCTGGTATAATAATAAAATAAAATAATTGTAAAATAAAAAGTCATTTTTTGCAAAGAGCTATTGACCATAGCTCTTTCTGCTCTTAATCACTAGCAGTGTAAAGTGAAAGTCTATATTAATTTTGTTAAGAAAATAAGGATAAGATTTTTCAACAATTTAGAAAAATGTTTTAGTTTTTTAATGAGTGCATTTTATAGCATATGGTATTAGGTATTTTTAATAAGTTTATTAATTTAACTCTTTGAGGGGCGGTGGAACACATAATGTACCACCTTTGGAACATGTGTAGTAGGAAAATATTATAATTTTCAAAAAAAGGACAGTTAAGAGGAATTACCATTTAATTTGGTTGACGAAGTTGTCTGATTCAGTTGTCTGATTATATATTATTGTTTTCTTAATTAATATTATTAATGTTATGTTAGAAACCTATATAATTACTATTAGTTTATTCAATATTACTTTTATTTGCTTCTGTCAATCATTTCATTTATCATTTTGTATAGCATTTTTTTTTATTTTTATGTAAATAATCTCTACGTTGTCCCATTGTATGTTTTATTACCAATATCAATATAAATATATATTATTAAGAAAAGACTTCCCAAAGTATACAGAACATTCATATTTCTATTTACCACATACATAAATAAACTTGAATGTTGATATACAGTAGAGTTGACTCAATTGCATCAAACCACTGTGTTGTGTAAATATTTATAATATATTTAACTCTGATTTAATTACTTTTTAAGAAATACTATTATACCTTCTTTCATTATAAATCGTTTACATATATAACTTTTAACAAACGTATATAAATGTTATGAAATGGTAAGAAGATTTTTATAAAAACTCTAATATTAATACTGTTTGAAATAATTATATAATCAGTGGCTAGAAATAGACTAATAGACTAATTTATAAATAATTAAAACTTCTAGTTAATAATTAATATTGTACAGAGCAGGGTTTCCCAAAGTTTTCCTGAAATGGAACACTTCGTAAATTTTGAAATTTTCACGTGACACCTTGTATATTTTATAGGGAAGGTCAGTGTTTCTCAAACTTTTTGGTTCGTGAAAAAATTTAAAGGACCCACCGAAGAATGGGTATATATAGAAAAACATACCATTCTGTCTGTCATCAATGTTTCTGCGACCCTCCACTTTGAGATTCACTGGGGTAGGTAAGAACATATAATGAATACAATTAAAAAAAAACATTCATTTCAGAGATAAATCTATACTCTTTATTAATAGTACATCATTATTGTACATTAAGACTATTATTGATACTATCTTCAATAATAGTCTTAATGTACAGGTTTTTTTTTTCGTTAAGAAGTCCATGCTAATATTTGGTTTTTGCATTTTTAAGGTTCTCATGTTGTCCCTAAATCAGCGGTTTCCAACCTTTATGCTACTACGCCTCCCTTACATTTTATTGTTTTAATAGATTAAATAATATAGACACGTTTTATTTATTTGAAGATATTGTGGTATAAAAATTAATTTAATAAACATTTTTGGCGCCTCCCATGGCAAGAGTCCGCGCTTCCCCTGGGAGGTTGGAAACCGGTGCCCTAAATAGAAGCTTCTAAGCGGAAACAGGTTTATTTTGAAATAAGAGTATTTTCAGATTGAGAGTTATCAATTGTGGTTTCTTGTTCTTCTAATAATATAATCGTCTGTCCTTCAGTCGGTTCCGGTTGTTGGCATGAACTGTATGGTCTAGTGATTATCAGGTATCCTAGGGGCTGACTTAATGTATGATAATGTACGAATGGAAATGAAGTGATTTGTGAATTAACTGACTGTAGAAATATATGGAGCACCCGCAGGTAGCAGGGGCCTACGGAATGCGGGTGAAAGATAACAAATAGTTCTACGAAGATGTTCTGAAGGACATCAGCTGATAGAAGTGCCCAGGTGATGCAGTAGCGTCGGTGTCGAAGAACGAATAGCTTAGGTTGGCTGTGTGCGAGTGTATGCATTGCGCCGGACCAAAACAATATTTGATTTGATTTTGTAGTCTTGGCCTGCAGTTCGTCGGTTTCGTCGCGCTGTGCGCATTAGTTGGCATCATGGCGTTCGCCGGTGGTATCAGTAGGATTCGCCTCTTGAATAAAATCGAAGTTTGTCTGGGATTCCAACAAATACAATTTATTAACAGTGTTACAGTGATCCATGTAAGTGATCGTTTTTCATTCAGAGCCAGGAATGGCAAGCAACACCTTCGTCTAGGCTGTTCAATCAATTCAAATGAACCAACCATGCAACCTACCGTATTTATTATTTTGAATCATTCTGCTGGAGTCTGCATAGGTTACACCCCTTCGCGGTCTTCTGCAGTGCCGGTCCCGGCAAACCCAAACCTGTCCTACTCTCTCTATCTGCACCACGTTCAACTTTAAGTGAGGTTAACTCACCTTTATTTCTGAAACTATGCAATTACCGGATCTGTAAACTTGATCAATAAAACAAACAATAATATTTGCTTTAAGTTCATTAAACTAATTTAAATAAACTCAACAAGTTTGATGCAGGTCTCACATTTCTTTCTTTTTTTTTAGTAATAGTTGAACATTTCCAATTGGAATATTTATTTGTTCTTATTGGTACCTCGTTGAATATACTTAATAAGAAACTTTTGTTGTGTCTATTTCAATAACTTACAATTTTAGAACATTTTTACGCAGAATTCAGTTCTTGGCACAGGTTGTTAGTCTATTAATAGTAGCAGTAGTCGATTATCAAGACTTCTAAATTTAATTAACTAACATTTCTAAAAAAATAAAAACAGTTCAAAGATATATTATATAAACAATTTATTCTTTTAAATTGATTATCAAATGTATTTTATCAAAATATTTACTATAAAATTATTTTTTGATTATTGAGTCTTCTACATTTAATTCATATTATTAACATGTTTTGTATTAAATAATACGAATAAAAATGTATCAAATATATATAATTTAATTATATTTTATAAATCTATGAAAGTTAAGCATTGTGAGGTAGCCAATATACAGTTCCAATATACAGTAGTAATGCTGGAAATAATCAATTAAACTACTTAAGTTTTTTTTTAATACATTCGTCGAAGTCTATCAATATTTAAAATGAAATCTTATACAATTCAGTTAATTCAGTAAGTTGTTTAAATTTTAAATGTTATTTATTTGTATAAGAGAAATTATAATATTTGTTATATTTAAAATGATCTCAAAATAGATAATACTCATTTGTAAATACATTATTTGCAGCCCTGATTTCAGTCACATAGTCTCAGTTAATTCGGCTGCTTTTCAATTCTCAAAAGTAATCGTCCTCATTGCTTAATCATTTCGCTTTCATGCAGTCTTGTATATTGACCCAATAACCCACAAAGTCTGTCACGTCCAAAAATAATAACAAAATTATCGCGTGGGTCCACAATTTTATTTCTTCCTCGTTTTTTTTGTTGCTATTCGTAATTTTATCATTTGGTAATATTCAAAATATACTAAATAGAATTTTTAGTTATTATAACAATGATTATCATTTTTACAAATATAGTTTAACACAAAAATATTTTTATATCATCGATAACTTTGGTATTATTATTTTCAGAAAACGATATTGCTCGAAAATTTCATTGATATTATATGATGATTTTTAAATTTGTGTTTGGCGATTTTTGTTTCTCGAAAGTAGAAGAATTTTGCGAAATGCTCGAAGTATATGCCCAAGTATAAATTGTTTAATCTTTCTATGTAAATTCATATTACATTACATTAACTAAAATCTGAAAATGTACGTAAAGTTAATAAAACTACACTTATACTTAATACTAACGTACGCATTAATTGACACATTTAATGCTAGTTTATGCTAGAGCTTCAATCACTAAACCATACATTCTCTCCTCGAAAAATTTGTTTAAAAATTTAAATTATAAATAAGTGTTAATTTAAATGTAAATTTATTGAAAAATAAACAAATTGGTTATTAATTGCTTTTTCAGCTGCAGTCTGATTATGCAGCCGTTGATTTTCTTTTCGATCATCGATCAATGATGCAGTACTTTCTCTGACCTCTCTTTTGGTTATATCTTCCAAATGCAGTTGCATTCTCATGAATGCGTATTACATATATACCATTGTCTTTTTCATTTTGCATTATGACTTGGTAACGACTGTACGAACGAGTGCCAATAATATTCTACAATGTGATGTGCTAACCTACAAAACAGACAAATATACATTATTTATCATTCAATGCCACCATTTTTTGAAAATATATTTTCATATTTTATTTCAGTAGTCATTTATAAAGTTATTCCAGAATTGCGGTAATTTATTTCTCATTTGTATACTTTTTAACGAATTTAAATGTTAACTGTTGACAAAAAATACATAACATTAATGGTAATGTGTTTGAATAATTTCATTGTCGTTCATAATTATTGCATAAATGAAAGTAGAAAATAAGCTTTCCACTATTACTTATATTTGATTCATTGAGAATGTACTAGACTTACAATACGCGCCATCATTTCACTGAATCAACTCATTTTTTTACGTAACTGATAAATGGTAATTTGTAGAAACCTGTGCGTGACGTCTGTGTGACGATGAATCATTGGTTATTAAGGATCACATTCTACAACTTGTATTATCTCATCTCTATTTACTGATTAAGATATTTT